GTGAGTCTATGGGTCTCTGTGTGAGTCTATGGGTCTCTGTGTGAGTCTGTGGGTCTCTGTGTGAGTCTGTGGGTCTCTGTGTGAGTCTATGGGTCTCTACGTGAGTCTATGGGTCTCTGTGTGAGTCTATGGGTCTCTGTGTGAGTCTATGTGTCTCTACGTGAGTCTATGGGTCTCTGTGTGAGTCTATGGGGTCTCTATGTGAGTCTGTGGGTCTCTATGTGAGTCTGTGGGTCTCTGTGTGAGTCTATGGGTCTCTGTGTGATTCTATGGGTCTCTGTGTGAGTCTACGTGTCTCTACGTGAGTCTATGGGTCTCTGTGTGAGTCTATGGGGTCTCTATGTGAATCTGTGGGTCTCTATGTGAGTCTGTGGGTCTCTATGCTAGTCTATAGGTCTCTGTGTGAGTCTATGGGTCTCTGTGTGAGTCGACGGGTCTCTATGCTAGTCTACGGGTCTCTGTGTGAGTCTATGGGTCTCTGTGTGAGTCTACGGGTCTCTGTGTGAGTCTATGGGTCTCTGTGTGAGTCTATGGGTCTCTATGCTAGTCTATGGGTCTCTATGCTAGTCTATGGGTCTCTGTGTGAGTCTATGGGTCTCTGTGTGAGTCTATGGGTCTCTATGTGAGTCTATGGGTCTCTGTGTGAGTCTACGGGTTTCTATGTGAGTCTATGGGTCTCTGTGTGAGTCTATGGGTCTCTGTGTGAGTCTATGGGTCTCTATGTGAGTCTATGGGTCTCTATGTGAGTCTATGGGTCTCTACGTGAGTCTATGGGTCTCTATGTGAGTCTATGGGTCTCTATGTGAGTCTATGGGTCTCTATGTGAGACTATGGGTCTCTATGTGAGTCTATGGGTCTCTATGTGAGTCTATGAGTCTCTATGGGTCTCTATGTGAGTCTATGGGTCTCTACGTGAGTCTACGGGTCTCTATGTGAGTCTATGGGTCTCTACGAGAGTCTACGGGTCTCTATGTGAGTCTATGGGTCTCTACGAGAGTCTACGGGTCTCTATGTGAGTCTATGGGTCTCTACGTGAGTCTACGGGTCTCTATGTGAGTCTATGGGTCTCTACGTGAGTCTACGGGTCTCTATGTGAGTCTATGGGTCTCTACGTGAGTCTACGGGTCTCTATGTGAGTCTATGGGTCTCTACGAGAGTCTACGGGTCTCTATATGAGTCTATGGGTCTCTACGTGAGTCTATGGGTCTCTATGTGAGTCTATGGGTCTCTGTGTGAGTCTATGGGTCTCTGTGTGAGTCTATGGGTCTCTATGTGAGTCTATGGGTTCCTATGTGAGTCTATGGGTCTCTACATGAGTCTACGGGTCTGTATGTGAGTCTATGGGTCTCTATGTGAGACTATGGGTCTCTATGTGAGTCTATGGGTCTCTGTGTGAGTCTATGGGTCTCTATGTGAGTCTATGTGGTCTCTACGTGAGTCTATGAGTCTCTACTTGAGTATATGGGTCTCTACGTGAGTCTATGGGTCTCTACGTGAGTCTATGGGTCTCTATGTGAGTCTATGGGTCTCTGTGTGAGTCTATGGGGTCTCTACGTGAGTCTATGGGTCTCTGTGTGAGTCTATGGGTCTCTATTTGAATCTATGGGTCTCTACGTGAGTCTACGGGTCTCTATGTGAGTCTATGGGTCTCTACGTGAGTCTACGGGTCTCTACGTGAGTCTATGGGTCTCTATGTGAGTCTATGGGTCTCTATGTGAGTCTATGGGTCTCTATGTGAGTCTATGGGTTTCTATGTGAGTCTATGGGTCTCTATGTGAGTCTATGGGTCTCTATGTGAGTCTATGGGTCTCTATGTGAGTCTATGGGTCTCTGTGTGAGTCTATGGGGTCTCTATGCTAGTCTATGGGTCTCTATGTGAGTCTATGGGGTCTCTATGCTAGTCTATAGGTCTCTACGTGAGTCTATGGGTCTCTGTGTGAGTCTACGGGTCTCTATGCTAGTCTATGGGTCTCTATGTGAGTCTATGCGTCTTTATGTGAGTCTGTGTGAGTCTATGGATCTCTACGTGAGTCTATGGGTCTCTATGTGAGTCTATGGGTCTCTATGTGAGTCTCTGGGTCTCTATGTGAGTCTATGGGTCGCTGTGTGAGTCTACGGGTCTCTGTGTGAGTCTATGGGTCTCTGTGTGAGTCTATGGGTCTCTATGCTAGTCTATGGGTCTCTATGCTAGTCTATGGGTCTCTGTGTGAGTCTATGGGTCTCTGTGTGAGTCTATGGGTCTCTATGTGAGTCTATGGGTCTCTGTGTGAGTCTATGGGGTCTCTACGTGAGTCTATGGGTCTCTGTGTGAGTCTATGGGTCTCTATTTGAATCTATGGGTCTCTACGTGAGTCTACGGGTCTCTATGTGAGTCTATGGGTCTCTACGTGAGTCTACGGGTCTCTATGTGAGTCTATGGGTCTCTACGTGAGTCTACGGGTCTCTATGTGAGTCTATGGGTCTCTATGTGAGTCTATGGGTTTCTATGTGAGTCTATGGGTCTCTATGTGAGTCTATGGGTCTCTATGTGAGTCTATGGGTCTCTATGTGAGTCTATGGGTCTCTGTGTGAGTCTATGGGGTCTCTATGCTAGTCTATGGGTCTCTATGTGAGTCTATGGGGTCTCTATGCTAGTCTATAGGTCTCTACGTGAGTCTATGGGTCTCTGTGTGAGTCTACGGGTCTCTATGCTAGTCTATGGGTCTCTATGTGAGTCTATGCGTCTTTATGTGAGTCTGTGTGAGTCTATGGATCTCTACGTGGGTCTATGGGTCTCTATGTGAGTCTATGGGTCTCTATGTGAGTCTCTGGGTCTCTATGTGAGTCTATGGGTCGCTGTGTGAGTCTACGGGTCTCTGTGTGAGTCTATGGGTCTCTGTGTGAGTCTATGGGTCTCTATGCTAGTCTATGGGTCTCTATGCTAGTCTATGGGTCTCTGTGTGAGTCTATGGGTCTCTGTGTGAGTCTATGGGTCTCTATGTGAGTCTATGGGTCTCTGTGTGAGTCTATGGGTCTCTGTGTGAGTCTATGGGTCTCTGTGTGAGTCTGTGGGTCTCTGTGTGAGTCTGTGGGTCTCTGTGTGAGTCTATGGGTCTCTACGTGAGTCTATGGGTCTCTGTGTGAGTCTATGGGTCTCTGTGTGAGTCTATGTGTCTCTACGTGAGTCTATGGGTCTCTGTGTGAGTCTATGGGGTCTCTATGTGAGTCTGTGGGTCTCTATGTGAGTCTGTGGGTCTCTGTGTGAGTCTATGGGTCTCTGTGTGATTCTATGGGTCTCTGTGTGAGTCTACGTGTCTCTACGTGAGTCTATGGGTCTCTGTGTGAGTCTATGGGGTCTCTATGTGAATCTGTGGGTCTCTATGTGAGTCTGTGGGTCTCTATGCTAGTCTATAGGTCTCTGTGTGAGTCTATGGGTCTCTGTGTGAGTCGACGGGTCTCTATGCTAGTCTACGGGTCTCTGTGTGAGTCTATGGGTCTCTGTGTGAGTCTACGGGTCTCTGTGTGAGTCTATGGGTCTCTGTGTGAGTCTATGGGTCTCTATGCTAGTCTATGGGTCTCTATGCTAGTCTATGGGTCTCTGTGTGAGTCTATGGGTCTCTGTGTGAGTCTATGGGTCTCTATGTGAGTCTATGGGTCTCTGTGTGAGTCTATGGGGTCTCTACGTGAGTCTATGGGTCTCTGTGTGAGTCTATGGGTCTCTATGTGAATCTATGGGTCTCTACGTGAGTCTACGGGTCTCTATGTGAGTCTATGGGTCTCTACGTGAGTCTACGGGTCTCTATGTGAGTCTATGGGTCTCTACGTGAGTCTACGGGTCTCTATGTGAGTCTATGGGTCTCTATGTGAGTCTATGGGTTTCAATGTGAGTCTATGGGTCTCTATGTGAGTCTATGGGTCTCTATGTGAGTCTATGGGTCTCTATGTGAGTCTATGGGTCTCTGTGTGAGTCTATGGGGTCTCTATGCTAGTATATGGGTCTCTATGTGAGTCTATGGGGTCTCTATGCTAGTCTATAGGTCTCTACGTGAGTCTATGGGTCTCTGTGTGAGTCTACGGGTCTCTATGCTAGTCTATGGGTCTCTATGTGAGTCTATGCGTCTTTATGTGAGTCTGTGTGAGTCTATGGATCTCTACGTGGGTCTATGGGTCTCTATGTGAGTCTATGGGTCTCTATGTGAGTCTCTGGGTCTCTATGTGAGTCTATGGGTCTCTGTGTGAGTCTATGGGTCTCTGTGTGAGTCTATGGGTCTCTATGTGAGTCTATGGGTATCTGTGTGAGTCTATGGGTCTCTGTGTGAGTCTATGGGTCTCTGTGTGAGTCTGTGGGTCTCTGTGTGAGTCTGTGGGTCTCTGTGTGAGTCTATGGGTCTCTACGTGAGTCTATGGGTCTCTGTGTGAGTCTATGGGTCTCTGTGTGAGTCTATGTGTCTCTACGTGAGTCTATGGGTCTCTGTGTGAGTCTATGGGGTCTCTATGTGAGTCTGTGGGTCTCTGTGTGAGTCTATGGGTCTCTGTGTGATTCTATGGGTCTCTGTGTGAGTCTACGTGTCTCTACGTGAGTCTATGGGTCTCTGTGTGAGTCTATGGGGTCTCTATGTGAATCTGTGGGTCTCTATGTGAGTCTGTGGGTCTCTATGCTAGTCTATAGGTCTCTGTGTGAGTCTATGGGTCTCTGTGTGAGTCGACGGGTCTCTATGCTAGTCTACGGGTCTCTACGTGAGTCTATGGGTCTCTTTGTGAGTCTACGGGTCTCTGTGTGAGTCTATGGGTCTCTATGCTAGTCTATGGGTCTCTGTGTGAGTCTACGGGTCTCTATGCTAGTCTATGGGTGCCTCTGTGTGAGTCTGTGGGGTCTCCTCGCGAACAAGCGGCAAGAAGAGGAAACCCAGAGTGAAAACCCAGGGCTTGTGAGCGGCTCCCGGTCAGCGTCTCTGACCACTGCCGCCCCCCTCCACCATCACCCCACGGAGCGTCACGACATCACCAGGGCAGCCGCTCACCGATCTTGATGACGTCGTTCCTGCTCAGGAAGATGTTCTTGGTCTTGAGGTCGCGATGGATGACACAGCTGTGGGGGCACCACACAGCAGCAGCAGCAGCAGCAGCACGCAGCAGGAGTTAATAGCAGCACGCGGTAGTAGTAGCAGCAGCAGTTGCACGCAGCAGTAGTAGCAGTAAAAGCAATAGCAGCAGTAGCAGCAGCACGCAACACGCAAAAGCAGTACGCAGCAGTAGCAGCACGTAGCAACAGTACGCAGCAGGAGCAGCAGCGTGTAGAAGCAACAGCAGCAGTAGCAGCAGCAGCAACCACGATGAGTCCGTTAGTCACGCCGTTCCGAAGAGGAACTCAAAGAGAAAACAGCTGCTCAACTAAAACTAAACTATTCTTACGCACTTTCATTTAACTCACTCTGTCTGTTGTTGTTGTTGTTGGCGTTGTCGTTGTTGTTGTTGTATCCTCAAATCTTGTAACTCAATTGTAACCCACTTCCCAATGTGGCATCGACTCCAAACTTGGTATACTTACGTCATACTGATGACAATACCATAGTATTCTATCACAAAAAAAAAAATATAAACGTTATTTTTCATATGTTATGTTTCGGTCTTGGGTCTAATTTTCCACGGTCAACTGACGTTGGCTGTAATTGGCCACGGGTCCCCTTACGTTGTGGCGAGCTTCGGGGCCACTTCCTGGAGTCGTGGAGTTCTTCCATTAACTAGCACGGTACATTTCATTAAAGCGTGTTTTTAAAAAAGAAAAAGTTTTTTTTAAATATTACTTATTTTTATATTTGAGCAGGCAAGGCCCCGCTTGAGCTATGTAGCTCTTAAATTTTGAAGCGACCTGGCTATCGAAAAATATAGCTCGACCTTAGAGCCCCACAGAGACCCATCGAGACTCATGGAGACCCATAGACACCCATACGCATCGAAATCCACACTAAAACTTTTTAATTTTTTATTATACCAGGCGAGGCCCACTGAGCTGCATAGCTCTTAAATTTAGAAGCCACCTGGCTATCAACAATGATAGCTCGAAGAATTGGCCGATATCATCATCATCATCATCGTGTGGGGACATTCAGAGCAGCCAAACACTCTAGGCGCATGCTGTCTGTGAGCATGTTGAACTTATTCCGCCCGCGTACGTAGCCAACCGCGCGAATCGGAGGTGCGGGATTTCTAAACGTGGAGGGGGAAAACCGGAGGAGCCGTGGGAAAATCCGCGCGACCACGGACAGAGAGAGAAAGGGAGAGAGAGAGAGAGAGACGCAAACTCCAAATTTACAGCAGGCGACAGGATTTGGATCAAACCCACGACCTCCTGCCGTATATCAGTTTACAACTTCTAGCCACAAGCAGGGGCGGAGCCACAGGGGGGGCTGGGGGGGGCTCAGCCCCCCCTGAAATTTTGGGAAAGTCGGTAATCGGGATAACCGGATGTTCGGCTGCTGCAACATGCTGCAGGCTGCCACCTTGTGCTGCCCTGCAGGCTACCACCTTGTGATGTCACCTCGTGCTGCCCTGCAGGCTACCACCTTGTGCTGCCCTGCAGGCTACCACCTTGTGATGTCACCTTGTGCTGCCCTGCAGGCTACCACCTTGTGCTGCCCTGCAGACTGCTACCTTGTGCTGCCCTGCAGGCTGCCACCTCGTGCTGCCCTGCAGGCTGCCACCTTGTGATGTCACCTTGTGCTACCCTGCAGGCTGCCACCTTGTGCTGCCCTGCAGGCTGCCACCTTGTGTGCTGCCCTGCAGGCTGCCACCTCATGTGCTGCCCTGCAGGCTACCACCTTGTGATGTCACCTTGTGCTGCCCTGCAGGCTACCACCTTGTGCTGCCCTGCAGACTGCTACCTTGTGTGCTGCCACCTTGTGCTGCTGCCCTGCTGGCTGCTTGAGCGGCAGCCTTTCGAACTTATCGAACTTATTAGCCACACCGGCGGCTCCGACCCATTAATAAACTCCGCGTTCAAATCCAATACAATTTGTTTTATACATCTGCGGCGCCCATTGGTAAACATAAACTGGATATCTCAGAATATTGAAGTCAGCCCACCCCCCCCCCCAAAGTCAAAATCCTGTCTCCGCCCCTGGCCACAAGTGGGGGCACTGGTCCCTCTACTACACGGCACACAGACGCTTGCCGCTATCGTTAGCGCCTACCTGCTGTGCATGTAGTGCACTCCGAACAGCAGCTGCAGCAGCCAGTCGAGGATCTGGTCACAGGGAAGCACTCCTCCTGCCCCTCCTCGGCTGCAGCGGCACTGCTCCAGCCTCGCGTCCAGGTCCCCTCCCTGTGCACACACCGCCATCGACATCCTACTCAACATCCTCATCATCATCAACATCGTCCCCGTCAACATCAACATCGTCAACATCAACATCGTCGTCAACATCAACATCGTCCCCATCAACATCACAGCCATCGTCATCAACATCCTAGTCAACATCGTCAACATCATAATCGTCATGATCAACATCGTCAACATCAACATCGTCCCCATCAACATCGTAGCCACCGTCATCAACATCCTCATCATCATCAACATCGTCCCCGTCAACATCGTCCCCGTCAACATCGTCCCCGTCAACATCAACATCGTCAACATCAACATCGTAGCCACCATCATCAACATCGTCAACAGCGTCAACATCATAATCGTCATGATCAACATCGTCATCATCAACATCGTCCCCATCAACATCGTAGCCATCGTCATCAACATCCTAGTTAACATCCTCATCATCATCAACATTGTCCCCTTCAACATCGTCGTCAACATCGCCAACATCAACATCGTCCCCATCAACATCGTAGCCATCGTCATCAACATCCTAGTTAACATCCTCATCATCATCAACACTGTCCCCGTCAACATCGTCGTCAACATCGCCAACATCAACATCGTCCACCATCAACATCGTAGCCATCGTCATCAACATCCTAGTCAACAGCGTCATCATCATAATCGTCATGATCAACATCGTCAACATCATCACCATCATCATCCCCAACGTCAACGTCATCGTCATCACCTTCGTTATCACACTCGCCATCATCATCACATCCATCGACACCATCATCATCATCACATCCATCGACACCATCATCATCATCATCACATCCATCGACACCATCATCATCATCACATCCATCGACACCATCATCATCATCATCACATCCACCGACACCATCATCATCATCTTCATCACATCCACCGACACCATCATCATCATCACATCCACCGACACCATCATCATCATCATCACATCCACCGACACCATCGTCATCATCATCATCATCACATCCACCGCCACCATCTTCATCATCACATCCACCGACACCATCGTCATCATCATCATCACATCCACCGCCACCATCATCATCATCACATCCACCGACACCATCATCATCACATCCACCGACACCATCATCATCATCACCATCACATCCATCGACACCATCATCATCATCACATCCACCGACACCATCATCATCATCACATCCACCGACACCATCGTCATCATCATCACATCCACCGACACCATCATCATCATCATCACCATCACATCCATCGACACCATCATCATCACATCCATCCACCGACACCATCATCAACATCATCGTCATCATCATCACATCCACCGCCGTCACCACCGCTCTGCGCGCCGTGCGTGCCTTCCGGCGGCCGCACCTCGCACAGCTCGGTGACGATGCACAGCAGGTCTCGCTCCAGGAAGCTCGCGTGTAGCCGCACGATGCACGGGTGGCGCAGGCGCGCCAGCAGCCGCGCCTCCGTGTGCGCGTGCACCGTCTCGTCCGCGCGCAGCTCCCCGACGGGCACCGTCTTCAGCACACACCTTGGCAGGCCGTTGTGCGGGCAAGCGAGTGAATAACTGAGCGCTAAGTGAGTGAGTGAGCAGGTGAGTGAGTGAGTGAGCAGGTGAGTGAGTGAGCAGGTGAGTGAGTGAGTGAGCAGGTGAGTGAGTAAGCAGGTGAGTGAGTGAGCAGGTGAGTGAGTGAGCAGGTGAGTGAGTGAGCAGGTGAGTGAGTGAGCAGGTGAGCGAGTGAGCAGGTGAGTGAGCAGGTGAGTGAGCGAGTAAGCAGGTGAGTGAGCAGGTGAGTGAGTGAGCGAGTGAGTGAGTGAGCAGGTGAGCGAGTAAGCAAGTCAGTGAGTGAATAACTGAGCGCTAAGTGAATAAGTGAGCAGGTGAGTGAGTGAGCAGGTAAACCAGTGAGCAATTGAGTGAGTGAGTGAGCGAGTGAGCAGGTGAGCGAGTGAGCAGGTGAGCGAGTGAGCGAGTGAGCAGGTGAGCGAGTGAGCAGGTGAGTGAATGAGTGAATGAGCAGGTGAGTGAATGAGTGAGTGAATGAGTGAGCAGGTGAGTGAGCAGGTGAGTGAGCAGGTGAGTGAGCAGGTGAGTGAGCAGGTGAGTGAGCAGGTGAGTGAGCAGGTGAGTGAGCAGGTGAGTGAGCAGGTGAGTGAGCAGGTGAGTGAGCAGGTGAGTGAGCAGGTAAACGAGTGTGCGTGTTCATGCGCGCACTTTCGTGTGTTTATCGGTGCTCGCTGACAGCGGGTGGTGTAGCGGGAGGTGTAGCGGGTGGTGTAGCGGGAGGTGTGGCGAGTAGTGTAGCGGGTAGTGTAGTGGTTAGCGCGCTGCGCTATGAACCCAGCGACCCGAGTTCGATTCCCGCTCACGGCCAACAGCAGTGACAATTATTTGAACCCGTCCTGGGCCTCCTCCCCTAGGTCGACTCAGCCTCAAATGAGTACCTGGTCCGGTGTGTAGTAATCATCGCCACTGGGGAGGCAAAGGCGGCCGGGCGTGGTGCTGGCCACCCACCCCCTCGTGCTGCTGCTCGCTAACAGCGCTTGCCCCTACAGCCTGTTACAGGCTACACGGGGGATCTTCGTCTTTGTGCGTGTAGCCCGTCAGCCACCCGGCGCGCCTCACCATGCAGGGGTGAGCGCGGCCTAACAATACTCACATCGCCTCACCACCACCACTACCACCAGCGGTGGCGGCAGCGGCGGCGGCCTTGAGATCCCGCACCAGGTAGACGCTGCCAAAGCTCCCGGCTCCCAGCCTGCGCCGCACCTCGTAGCGGCTCGCCACCACCCCGAGCCCCGCCACGGTCGGCGGCGGCGGCGCCGGCGGTGGCCGCGGCGGCGGTCGCTCCGGCGTGGGCAGAGACGGCTTCACCTGGCGGAACCTGGACATGGCGGCGGTGGTGGTGGCGGCGGTGGCGGTGGTGGTGGTGGTGGCGGCGGTGGTGGAGGCGGTGGTGGTGGCGGTGGTGGCGGTGGCGGTGGTGGTAGCGGCACCAGCGTCGTCCGCGCCACGCGGGAGGTCGCGCACCGTCGCCTGTAGTCACCCGCGGAGCACAAGGGAGAGGCGGTCGTCTTAGTGGGCTCGCACGGTGACCTGTGTGTGTGTGTACCTGTGTGTGTGTACCTGTGTGTGTGTACCTGTGTGTGTGTGTACCTGCGTGTGTGTGTACCTGCGTGTGTGTGTACCTGCGTGTGTGTGTACCTGTGTGTGTGTACCTGTGTGTGTGTACCTGTGTGTGTACCTGTGTGTGTACCTGTGTGCTCGTGTACCTGTGTGTGTGTACATGTGTGTGTGTGTGTGTACATGTGTGTGTGTGTACCTGTGTATGTACCTGTGTGTGTGTATACACCTGTGTGTGTACCTGTATGTGTGTGTACACTGTGTGTGTGTACTTGTGTGTACCTGTGTGTGTATACCTGTGTGTGTACCTATGTGTGTACCTGTATGTGTGTGTACACTGTGTGTGTGTACCCGTATGTGTGTGTACGTGTATGTGTGTACCGGTGTGTGCACCTGTGTGTGTGTGTGTACCTGTGTGTGTGTGTACCTGTGTGTGTGCACCTGTGTGTGTGTACCTGTGTATGTGTACCTGTGTGTGTGTTATCTGTATGTGTGTGTACCTGTGTGTGTCTATCTGTATGTGTGTGTACCTGTGTGTGTGTGTACCTGTGTGTGTGTACCTGTGTGTGTGTGTGTACCTGTGTGTATGTGTGCACCTCTGTGTGTTGCGGGGAACATATTTGTCTTTGTTGTGGGGAGCGGTGGTGTAGTGGTGAGCGCACTGCACTACGAACCCAGCTAGTCGAGTTCGATTCCCGCTCACGGCCAACACCAGTGACGATTATCTGAACTGGTCCTGGGGCTCCCCTAGGTCGTCTCAGCCTTAAATGAGTACCTGGTGCAGTACGTAAACTTCGCCACTCGGGAGACAAAGGCGGCCGGGGGTGATGCTGGCCACCCACCCCCACTTGTGCCATGCTGGCTTTCATAGGTACTCGCTAACAGTACTTGCCCCTACAGTCTGTTAAGGCTATATGTTGGATATTTTGTCTTTTGTGTACCTGTGTGTGTACCTGTGTGTGTACCTGTGTGTGTACCTGTGCGTCTGTACCTGTCCTTGTACCCGTGTGTGTACCTGTGTGGGTACCTGTGTGTGTACCTGTGTGTGTACCTGTGTGGGTATCTGTATGTACCTGTGTGGGTACCTGTGTGTGTACCTGTGTGTGTACCTGTGGGTTACCTGGGTGTGTACCTGTGTGTGTACCTGTGTGGTTACCTGGGTGTGTACCTGTGTGGGTATCTGTGTGTACCTGTGTGGTTACCTGCGTGTGTGCGAGCGAATCGGAAGCCACACACGCAGGTGTGTCTGTGTAAGTGTGTGAGTGAGCACCTGTGTGTGTACCTGTGTGGGTATCTGTGTGTGTACCTGTGTGTATCTGTGTGGGTACCTGTGTGTGTACCTGTGTGGGTATCTGTGTGTACCTGTGTGTGTACCTGTGTGTGTACCTGTGTGGTTGCCTGTGTGTGTACCTGCGCGTGTGTGCGAGCGAGTCGGAAGCCACACACACAGGTGTGTGTGTAAGTGTGTGAGTGCGTACCTGTGTGTGTACCTGTGTGGTTGCCTGTGCGTGTACCTGTGTGTGTGTGCGAGCGAGTCGGAAGCCACACACACAGGTGTGTGTGTAAGTGTGTGAGTGAGCACCTGCGTGTGTACCTGTGTGGTTGCCTGTGCGTGTACCTGTGCGTGTGTGTGTGCGAGCGAGTCGGAAGCCACACACACAGGTGTGTGTGTAAGTGTGTAAGTGTGCTGCTCTGCGTCACGTTGCCCCCGGCGACGCGCGTAAGAGAGACGACGTCTTACTGTGGCACACAAAAGGCCCTCACAGTCCTCCTCAGAGCGTGCGAGGAGGTGGCACCCGACAGGGTGTCGTAGTCAGGGGCCTACCCCCTGCGGGACACGCACAGACAAATACCCCCATCCCCCCCCACACTCCATCCCCACACAATCACACACACACAGCCACCCACACACACAGCCACACACACACACAGCCACCCACACACTCACCCACACAGCCACACACACACACAGCCACCCACACACACACACAGCCACCCACACACTCACCCACACAGCCACCCACACACACACCCACACAGTCACCCACACACACACAGCCACCCACACACTCACCCACGCAGCCACCCACACACACACCCACGCAGCCACCCACACACACACCCACACAGCCACCCACACACACACAGCCACCCACACACTCACCCACGCAGCCACACACACACCCACACAGCCACCCACACACACACCCACACAGCCACCGACACACACACACAGCCACCCACACACCCACACAGCCACCCACACACACACCCACACAGCCACCCACACAGCCACCCACACAGCCACCCACACACACAGCCACCCACACACTCACCCACCCACACAGCCACACACTCACCCACCCACACAGCCACACACTCACCCACCCATCCACACAGCCACACACTCACCCACCCACACAACCACACACTCAACCCCCCACACAGCCAAACACCCACACAGCCACACACTCACCCCCCCACACAACCACACACTCACCCACCCACCTACATAGCCACACACTCACCCCCCCCCCCACACAACAACACACACATTTACCCACATAGCCACACACTCACCCCCCCCCCCCCCCCCACACAGCCACACACTCACCCACCCACACAGCCACCCACACAGCCACACACTCACCCACCCACACACCCACCCACACAACCACCCACCCACACAACCACACACTCACCCACCCACACAACCACCCACCCACATAGCCACACACTCACCCACCCACACAGCCACACACTCAAACTCGGTTCACCGGGTTCGAAGCGCAGTGCACTAACCACTACACTACTGCTTCTCTACACGCGTGGCAACACAAACATGTGAACGTCCCACCAGTCAATTTCTGTATGTTTTGTATGTTTTTTTCTCAACCGGGGATGCTCATCTTAACCAACTGGGGTGGCCCGTCTTACCCAACCGGGGTTGACCGTCTTACCCAACCAGGGTTGCCCGTCTTACCCAACCAGGGATGCCCGTCTTACCCAACCAGGGTGGCCCGTCTTACCCAACCAGGGTGGCCCGTCTTACCCAACCGGGGTTGCCCGTCTTACCCAACCAGAGTTGCCCGTCTTACCCAACCAGGGTAGCCCGTCTTACCCAACCAGGGTTGCCCGTCTTACCCAATCGGGGTTGCCCGTTTTACCCAATCGGGGTTGCCGGTCTTACCCAACCAGGGTTGCCCGTCTTACCCAACCAGGGTTGCCCGTCTTACCCAATCGGGGTTGCCCGTCTTACCCAACCAGGGTTGCCCGTCTTACCCAACCAGGGTTGCCCATCTTACCCAACCGGGGTTGCCCGTCTTACCCAACCAGGGTTGCCCGTCTTACCCAACTGGGGTTGCCCGTCTTACCCAACTGGGGTTGCCCGTCTTACCCAATCGGGGTTGCCCGTCTTACCCAACCAGGGTTGCCCGTCTTACCCAACCGGGGTTGCCCGTCTTACCCAACCAGGGTTGCCCGTCTTACCCAATCGGGGTTGCCCGTCTTACCCAATCAGGGTTGCCCGTCTTACCCAATCGGGGTTGCCCGTCTTACCCAACCGGGGTGGCCTGTCTTATGGGCTGTACGTATGTTGAACTTCTATGGCGCCATACCTAGCCAACCATGCCAATTGGAGGTGCGGGTGAAAGACAACAAACTAAACACACGCTAATGAGACACGATCCTAACGAGACCCCGTCTCTCTCTGCATAGAGTCGAGCCATGAGTGTGGACGATGAGACACGATCCTAACGAGACCACGTCTCTCTCTGCATAGAGTCGAGCCATGAGTGTGGACGATGAGACACGATCCTAACGAGACCACGTCTCTCTCTGCATAGAGTCGAGCCATGAGTGTTTACGATGAGACACGATCCTAACGAGACCACGTCTCTCTCTGCATAGAGTCGAGCCATGAGTGTGGACGATGAGACACGATCCTAACGAGACCACGTCTCTCTCTGTCTATAGAGTCGAGCCATGAGTGTGGACGATGAGACACGATCCTAACGAGACCACGTCTCTCTCTGTCTATAGAGTCGAGCCATGAGTGTGGACGATGAGACACGATCCTAACGAGACCACGTCTCTCTCTGCATAGAGTCGAGCCATGAGTGTTGACGATGAGACACGATCCTAACAAGACCACGTCTCTCTCTGTCTATAGAGTCGAGCCATGAGTGTGGACGATGAGACACGATCCTAACGAGACCACGTCTCTCTCTGTCTATAGAGTCGAGCCATGAGTGTGGACGATGAGACACGATCCTAACGAGACCACGTCTCTCTCTGTCTATAGAGTCGAGCCATGAGTGTGGACGATGAGACACGATCCTAACGAGACCACGTCTCTCTCTGTCTATAGAGTCGAGCCATGAGTGTGGACGATGAGACACGATCCTAACGAGACCACGTCTCTCTCTGTCTATAGAGTCGAGCCATGAGTGTGGACGATGGTTCGCGCACTGCGTCACGAACACGCCAGTTCGACTCCGGGCCACGGCTAACATCAGTGGTCGTGACCGACACTCACTGACCAGCGTGGTGAAGTATGGTCGAGCATAAATCGAGTGGCGTGTATGCCGGCGACCTGAGTTCGATTTACCCTCAGTGGCCAACACCGGTGACGATTATCTGAACCGGTCCTGGACCTTTCCTAGGTCGACTCAGCCTCGAATGAGTACCATTAAAAAAATAAACTGGTACTGTGTATAGACATCACCACTGGGGAGGCATAGGCAACATGACGTGGTTGTTGGCTACCCACCCTCTCGTGGACCGTGCTGGCTTTCATAGGCGCTGCGAGCTAACAGCACTTTCTGCCACAGTCTGTCAAGGCTATACGGGGGATTAATCTTTGTTTTTTTTCGGTAAAGTCACGTAGAAATAAGAAAAAATTTAATTACATAATATACGACGTTTCGATCGCAACACAAGCAATCATCATCAGGTAGAGGAAACACATAACAGCAGATAGATATACACAGACCTTAAGTAAAGGGAATTGACACAGATATACCAGGGGATACAGAGAGACGGACCATCACACTAAATCAAACAGGGTTTCGCAAAATTTGGAAACTATGTAAAGCAACACAGACGGTCGGTTAAAACACAATTAACGCACGGTCTTGTTGAATACACTATTTCAAAGATTGTTAAATTGTAAGTTGAGTGTGAAATTTATACATAGTGATAGAATACATACCGTATAGAGACCTATGGGGGGAGACACGCACACAGTTCAGAGGTGAAGCAGCTCTGTACCGAGGGGATCTTTGACTTTGTTTAGCATTGCATGGGGAGCGGTGGTGCAGTGGTTAGCGCACTGCGCTCCGACCGGAGTTTCCCTATCAGAATCAGAATATTTCTTTAAACCGGAGGAATCCGATGAGCTATAAAGCTCTTTTTTCACAGATGCTCAGTAGAGGCACGGGGTAAGAACGTTACAACAACAACAACAGTAGTAGTAAAACATGAGAGTAATGCAAAGGGGCCGTCCATTAATGACGTCACGCGATTTTGGACGATTTTTGACCCCCCACCCCCCCCTCGTGACACGACGTCACAAAAAGTCAGACCCCCCCCCCTCAAATATGACGTCACAAAGCTCTGCCCCCCCCCCATAAAAAGAAAACATGCTTCAAATCGCTTTAAACTATTGTCATTGTAGCGCGTATTTAATGTAATGTGGCGCTGCACTCTTGATGTTGTAGGAGAAAACATTTATTTAAAAAAAAGTCTATTTAATTAAGTTAGAACGTGTTGTCTGTATTTATTTAAAGTTGCGCATTTTGATGTGACGTCACATTTCTCACATACCCCCTTCGTCACACATCGTCACAAATGTCTGACCCCCGTCCAAAAATTACGTGACGTCTTTTGGACTAAATGACGTGACGTCATTTTTGGACGACCCCCCCCCCCCCTTACTGGACATCTATCAAACAAAGAGCTTCACAGCTCATCGGATTCCCCAGTATCAATAGAGATTCTGATCGATAAAAGGGCGCTCGCTAACAGCACTTTGGCGCAGCAGCCGAGCCGCGTTAGTAACGATGCAGACGCAGCAGTACCTGTGCGCGTGCGTTGAATTTCTTTCGCGCCGTACGTGGAGGAACGTGTTGGTTATCTGGAGGTCACGTTCAGGCTCTGCCACCACTCCCGGTTAACTTAAACAACAACAATAATAATATAACGGGGTTTTTTTTTTCTTTGTACAACGTGGTGGATTAACGTCGTCTAATGAAGGCGAGTTATATACACAGCAACTCTGCCTCCCTCCTGCACACACACGCTCGACGTTGCCACGGCAACAGCGGGCTCGTCCATTATTGGCTGGCTGGGTAGGGGAGGGTTGTGTTAATCTTGGCAAGGACCAATCACACGCCAGCACCAGACATTAACGCACCAACACACAGCCAATCACACGCCAGCACCAGACATTAACGCACCAACACCAGCCAATCACACGCCAGCACCAGTCATTAACGCACCAACACCAGCCAATCACACGCCAGCACCAGACATTAACGCACCAACACCAGCCAATCACACGCCAGCACCAGACTAACGCACCAGCACCAGCCAATCACACGCCAGCACCAGTCATTAACGCACCAACACCAGCCAATCACACGCCAGCACCAGACTAACGCACCAACACCAGCCAATCACACGCCAGCACCAGTCATTAACGCACCAACACCAGCTAATCACACGCCAGCACCAGACTAACGCACCAACACCAGTCAATCATACGCCAGCACCAGTCATTAACGCACCAACACCAGCCAACCACACGCCAGCACCAGTCATTAACGCACCAACACACAGCCAATCACACGCCAGCACCAGACATTAACGCACCAACACCAGCCAATCACACGCCAGCACCAGACTAACGCACCAACACCAGCCAATCACACGCCAGCACCAGTTATTAACGCACCAACACCAGCCAATCACACGCCAGCACCAGACTAACGCACTAACACCAGCCAATCACACGCCAGCACCAGACTAACGCACCAACACCAGCCAATCACACGCCAGCACCAGTCATTAACGCACCAACACCAGCCAATCACACGCCAGGACCAGACATTAACGCACCAACACCAGCCAATCACACGCCAGCACCAGTCGTTAACGCACCAACACCAGCCAATCACACGCCAGCACCAGTCATTAACGCACGAACACCAGCCAATCACACGCCAGCACCAGTCATTAACGCACCAACACCAGCCAATCACACGCCAGCACCAGACATTAACGCACCAACACCAGCCAATCACGCACCAGCCAATCACATGCCAGCACCAGCCATTAACACACCAACACCAGCCAATCACACGCCAGTGTCAGACAATTGCACGCCAGCGCCAGTAAGTGGCCCAGTGATTGGACCAGTGAGTGAGTGGGCCAGTGAGTGAGTGAGCCAGTGAGTGAGTGGACCAGTGAGTGTGTGAGTGGGCTAGTGAGTGTGTGAGTGGACCAGTGAGAGTGTGAGTGGACAAGTAAGAGTGTGAGTGGGCCAGTGAGTGTGAGTGGACCAGTGAGTGAGTGGGCCAGTTAGTGAGTGAGTGGACCAGTGAGTGTGTGAGTGGGCCAGTGAGTGTGTGAGTGGGCCAGTGAGTGAGTGGGCCAGTGAGTGAGTGGACCAGTGAGTGTGTGAGTGGACCAGTGAGAGTGTGAGCGGACCAGTGAGTGTGTGAGTGGACCAGTGAGTGTGTGAGTGGACCAGTGAGTGTGTGAGTGGACCAGTGAGTGTGTGAGTGGGCCAGTGAGTGGACCAATGAGTGTGTGAGTGGGCCGGTGAGTGTGTGAGTGGACCAGTGAGTGTGTGAGTGGGCCAGTGAGTGTGTGAGTGGACCAGTAAGAGTGTGAGTGGGCTAGTGAGTGTGTGAGTGGACCAGTGAGTGAGTGGGCCAGTGAGTGTGTGAGTGGACCAGTGAGTGTGTGAGTGGACCAGTGAGTGAGTGGGCCCCTGAGTGTGTGAATGGGCCAGTGAGTGCGTGAGTGGACCAGTGAGTGTGTGAGTGGGCCAGTGAGTGTGTGAGTGGACCAGTGAGTGTACCAGTGAGTGTGTGAGTGTACCAGTGAGTGTGTGAGTGGACCAGTGAGTGAGTGGGCTAATGAGAGTGTGAGTGTACCAGTGATTGTGTGAGTGGGCCAGTGAGTGAGTGAGTGGGCTAGTGAGTGTGTGAGTGGACCAGTGAGTGTGTGAGTGGGCCAGTGAGAGTGTGAGTGGGCTAGTGAGTGAGTGAGTGGGCTAGTGAGTGAGTGGGCCAGTGAGAGTGTGAGTGGGCTAGTGAGTGAGTGAGTGAGTGGGCTAGTGAGTGAGTGGGCCAGTGAGAGTGTGAGTGGACCAGTGAGTGTGTGAGTGGACCAGTGAGTGTGTGAGTGGGCCAGTGAGAGTGTGAGTGGACCAGTGAGAGTGTGAGTGGGCCAGTGAGTGTGTGAGTGGGCCAGTGAATGGCCCAGTGAGTGGGCCAGTGAGTGTGTGAGTGGGCCAGTGAGTGGCCCAGTGAGTGAGTGAGTGGACCAGTGAGTGTGTGAGTGGGCTAGTGAGTGAGTGAGTGGACCAGTGAGTGTGTGAGTGGGCCAGTGAGTGTGAATGGACCAGTGATTGTGTGAGTGGACCAGTGAGAGTGTAAGTGGGCCAGTGAGTGTGAGTGGACCAGTGATTGTGTGAGTGGACCAGTGAGAGTGTAAATGGGCTAGTGAGTGAGTGAGTGGGCTAGTGAGTGTGTGAGTGGGCCAGTGAGCGTGTGAGTGGGCTAGTGAGAGTGTGAGTGGACCAGTGAGTGTGTGAGTGGACCAGTGAGTGTGTGAGTGGACCAGTGAGTGTGAGTGGACCAGTGAGTGAGTGAGTGGACCAGTGAGAGTGTGAGTGGGCCAGTGAGTGTGAGTGGACCAGTGAGTGAGTGAGTGGGCCAGTGAGTGAGTGAGTGGACCAGTGAGAGTGTGAGTGGGCCAGTGAGAGTGTGAGTGGACCAGTGAGTGTGTGAGTGGGCCAGTGCGTGTGTGAGTGGGCCAGTGAGTGTGTGAGTGGACCAGTGAGAGTGTGAGTGGGCCAGTGAGTGAGTGAGTGGACCAGTGAGAGTGTGAGTGGGCCAGTGAGTGTGAGTGGACCAGTGAGTGTGTGAGTGGGCTAGTGAGTGTGTGAGTGGGCCAGTGAGTGTGTGAGTGGACCAGTGAGTGTGAGTGGACCAGTGAGTGTGTGAGTGGGCTAGTGAGTGTGTGAGTGGGCCAGTGAGTGTGTGAGTGGACCAGTGAGTGTGAGTGGACCAGTGAGTGTGTGAGTGGGCCAGTGAGTGTGTGAGTGGACCAGTGATTGTGTGAGTGGGCTAGTGAGTGAGTGAGTGGACCAGTGAGAGTGTGAGTGGACCAGTGAGTGTGTGAGTGGGCCAGTGAGTGTGTGAGTGGACCAGTGAGTGTGTGAGTGGACCAGTGAGAGTGTGAGTGGGCCAGTGGGCCAGTGAGTGGGCCAGTGAGTGGGCCAGTGAGTGTGTGAGTGGGCCAGTGAGTGCGTGAGTGGACCAGTGACAGTGTGAGTGGGCCAGTGAGTGTGTGAGTGGACTAGTGAGTGTGTGAGTGGACCAGTGAGAGTGTGAGTGGGCCAGTGGGCCAGTGAGTGGGCCAGTGAGTGGGCCAGTGAGTGGGCCAGTGAGTGTGTGAGTGGGCTAGTGAGTGTGTGAGTGGACCAGTGAGAGTGTGAGTGGACCAGTGAGTGTGTGAGTGGACCAATGAATGTGTGAGTGGACCAGTGAGAGTGTGAGTGGACCAGTGAGTGTGTGAGTGGACCAGTGAGTGAGTGGGCCAGTGAGTGAGTGAGTGGACCAGTGAGTGTGTGAGTGGACCAGTGAGTGTGTGAGTGGGCCAGTGAGTGCGTGAGTGGGCCAGTGAGTGAGTGGGCCAGTGAGTGTGTGAGTGGACCAGTGAGTGTGTGAGTGGGCCAGTGAGTGCGTGAGTGGGCCAGTGAGTGTGTGAGTGGGCCAGTGAGTGTGTGAGTGGGCCAGTGAGTGTGTGAGTGGACCAGTGAGAGTGTGAGTGGGCCAGTGAGTGAGTGAGTGGGCCAGTGAGTGTGTGAGTGGACCAGTGAGTGTGTGAGTGGGCCAGTGAGAGTGTGAGTGGACCAGTGATTGTGTGAGTGTTTGCTGTTGCAACTTGCTGACCCAGCCCCCTACTGGACACGTGTGTAGTTGAGAATAGGTTTTCCCCTTTTTTCTTGCAACAAAACAGCTGTGTTGAGATGTTAAAACGCCAAACTGAAACCTTTTACAAGGAATCATGTTTGCATTAACCACAATACTTGTGGTCAGAATACAAACAAAAAGAATATTCTGATAATATGTGTGGCATTGTCTTTGAAACTGATTGGTCCACACCAGAGACAACTTTCTTTTGAGCGTCGTCTCAAACGGTGTTAGACCATACTCAAATCTAGAATTAGACCATGCTCTTTGATTCTTTCGGTAAAGTCACGTAGGTATAAAAAAAATTAAATCACGATGTTTCTGGCGCAACACAAGCGTCCGTCATCAGGTGCGCCCGAAACGTCGTGATTTATTTTACTTTATACCTCCGTGACTTTACCGAAAGAACCAAAGATTATGGATTCCTTGCTGTCCACGAAAGTTTCAAATCAAGAATGGGTGTTCGAGCAGACTTCAACCACCAGAGGACGCCAAAAGGCGTGCACAACCCAGAGACAATGCCACTGTGAGAGTAACGAGACCTCGGGGTCGGCAGCTACATCATGTGACCTCGTGCCAGTAGTACCAAAAAGGGGTCAAACCTACCCTACATAATTTTTCGATTTAAAGCTTTCGTGACTGCAAGGATTCATCTTCTTTGGTGCTTTCGGTAAAGTCACCACCACGTAGAATGAGAATAAAATAATAAATTGATCAAATAAAATAACACGATAAAATTCTCACGACGTTTCGGCCACAACACAAGCGGCCTTCATCAGGTGAAGGGACGAGACTGTCTGGAGGACAGCGCTGTCCTACCAGATTTTCTACCCAACATATTTTTGTTGTAGTACGGAGTTAGACTGATGGCCTTAATCTAAGTTTTGTCTTGTGGTTGTTGTTATTGTTGTTTGACTTTGCATCCCACTGGGATTTTTTTTGCACGCAGCGTTGGCGGTGTACACGGTGATTTTTTTTACAGGAATATTTTGCTGGGGTGGTTTTTTTTCCTGGATTTTCTGTTTTGCACAGTCAACACATCGTCACTTTAAGATGTTTTCTTGTTCGTGTTGTTGTTTTTATTGTTTGTGTTGCGGTTGCACCCGATGCAAGAGGCGAATGGCTCACAGGGCTGTACCAAAATAAATAAACTGAAATAAATAAACTGGTACTGGCAAAGGGAGGTCCCATGATGTGTAAGTTATGATGCAAATTATGCGTGTGACGTCACGGACGTGAAAACGCGGATGACGTCACGGAAGATATAATGTGGAGTGACGTCGGAGAGGTTGAAATGTGGATGACGTCATGGAAGTGGAAGACACGGATTACGTCACGGAAGCGAGGACACGGCGGGCATCGCAAAAACGCACAGGACGACACGGAAGTTGAAGACGCGGATGACGTCACGGATTTGAAGACACGGATGACGCCGCGGAAGTGAAATTGCGGAGGGACGTAACGGAAGTGAGTGTAGACGCGGAAGTGAAAATGCGGATGACGTCACGAGCAGTGACGATACGTTACAACGAATCGTCGCCGTGACGTCGAAAAAATTATCGACGTCACGGTAGACACCGATGACGTCACCCGCGCGGAAAGGAAGCGGTAGCCGTGGGCACGGCTGTACAGTGGTTACAGTGCGCTTCGCGAGTTACCGCTTGTGTGCGTGTTAGCGAGTGCTTCTCTCGAACGCTCTAGCGTTTCGACGTTGTCGTAACGACGTTTAAAACAACCGCCTCGCCGCCTCCCTCCGTCCTTCCACTTCCCTCGATACGAAGAGCGACTCAGGCGCCGTGTTTACAGAGGCGGCAACCCCGCCACCAACACTACCATCACCACCACCATCATCACCAACACCACCATCACCACCACGACAATCAGACCAACATCACCAACACCACCACCATCACCAACACGACAATCACATCATCACCACCATCACCAACACCACCACGACAATCACATCACCACCATCACCACCACCAACACCACTATCACCAACACAACAATCACACCACCACCAACACCACCATCAACACAACAATCACATCACCACCACCACCACTCCTCACCGCCGCCTTCGATTTGCCGTTCCGTTTAAATCGTCCCAAAGTCTGCGCGCGCGATGGGGAACGGCATGAACAAGGTGAGAGAGAGAGAGAGATTTAAAGCGTTCGTGACTGCAGGGATTCATATTCTCGGTTCTTTCGGTAAAGTCACCACCACGTAGAAGGGAAACAATACAATAATACAAAATTACTAAAAACAATAAAATTCTCACGACGTTTCGACTGCAACACAAGAAGCAATCATCATCAGGTGTGAAAACCACGGCAAGAAAAACCACAGCAAGAAAATTGTTCTTGCTGTTTTTTTGTTTACAACTGACGATGCTTGTGTTGCGGTAGAAACGTCGTGAGAATTTTATTGTTTTATATATTTTTATTGTTTTCCCCTTTTCTACGTGACTTTACCGAAAGAATCAAGAATAAGAGGTAAGAGGGAGGCCCTTTACTGCGTAGTGCTCCTTAGCAGCATTATTTTACGTGATTTTTTTATATAAAAAAAGGTTTAGTTTAGCCACATTTGTATGTTGCAGTTTCGAGTTCTACTTCGAATTTTTTTTTTTAGAATCTAAATTGTTTTGTGATTGTGACCTAACATCAAACTGGGATTTTTGTTGTTGTTGCTGCACACTGTACACACACGGTGGCACATTTAACTGTTTGCATAGGCCTCGAGATGTTTCAAATTGCGTCGCAGTAAAATTTTAAATGTATCTTGTTGCAATTGTATTGTTTGTTGCGCGTTGCACCCGAATCAAGAGCCGAATGGCTCTCGCAGGGTTAAACCAAATAAATTAAACTGAAAACTGTAAACCCTTTGAAGGCCGTTAGCTGTGGTACACGAATTGGGTGGATTGTGTGTTAGTGGTGACCAGCAACCACGCACGCCACCCACCCACCACGGCCTTTGTCTTCACAAGCGGCGATGTTTGGTTGCAAGCGGCGTCAATGTACTCATTTGAGGCCGAGTCGACCTTGGGGGGGGGGGGGTTGGGGGAGGCCCGTGACAGGTTCAGTTGATCGCTACCACTGCTTTGGTGGTGGGTGGTGGTGGTGATGGTGGTGGTGATGATGGTAGTGGTGGTGGTGATGGTGGTAGTGGTGATGGTGATGGTGGTAGTGGTGATGGTGGTGGTGATGATGGTGGTAGTGGTGATGGTGGTAGTGGTGATGGTGGTGGTGATGGTGGTAGTGGTGATGGTGGTGGTGATGGTGATGATGGTGGTAGTGGTGATGGTGGTGATGGTGGTGGTGATGATGGTGATGGTGATGATGGTGGTGGTGGTGATGATGATGGTGGTGGTGGTGATGGTGGTGGTGATGATGGTGGTGGTGATGGTGGTGGTGATGATGGTGGTGGTGGTGATGATGATGATGGTGGTGATGATGATGGTGGTGGTGATGGTGATGATGATGGTGGTGATGGTGGTGGTGGCCGGGAGCGGAGATGGGAGTTCGGTTCGCCGGGTTCGTAGCGTAGCGCGCTCGCCGCTACAGCCCATCAGACGTGGTCAGTCAGCTGCTGAATGAAGACCGTGAACGAAAGGGGTCGCCTTCCATATCTCGCGACACGAAAAGTTGCCATCATATACAAGCAAAGATCCCCCGTCGACACTACTATACACTACACTACTATACACTACACTACTATACACTTCTATACACTACTATACACTTCTATACACTACACTACTATACACTTCACTATACACTACACTACTATACACTTCACTATACACTACATTAATATACACTTCTATACACTACACTTCTATACACTTCACTATATACTACACTACTATACACTGCATTGCTATACACTAGACTAAACACTACACTACTATACACTTCACACTACACTATACACTACACTATACACTACACTTCTATACACTACACTACTATACACTTCACTATACACTACACTACTATACACTTCACTATACACTACACTATACACTACTATACACTACACTATACACTACACTATACACTACACTACTATACACTACACTACTATACACTACACTACTATATACTACACCACTATACACTACACTATACACTACTATACACTACACTACTATACACTACACTATACATTACACTACTATACACTACACTACTATACACTACACTACTATACACTACACTACTATACACTACACTATAATACACTTCACACTACACTATACACTACACTATACACTAGTGCTGTACTAGTAACGAATTTGCCACGTTCTGTGTACGTGACACAACCCTCACTAGTTGGCTGTGTCGGGTGGTGGCGGGTTTTAACGACACATTTACACGATCTAACCCAAAAAAAAACTATCATCGGCATAATGACCAACATCATCACCGTCAAAATAATAATATTATCAGTGATTTCCATTGCCCCTTAAGGGTAGATAAAACTTCCACAATATGGGACGTCAACAGAGGACGCTCAGTGGATATACTGGCCCATGCCATGGGAATGTGGAATTTCCACAAGTGGCTCGGGGAAGCCAGAAAGAGTTGACAAAATCTCTCGTATCATCATCTTAACCAATATACTGTAATCATCATCATGACCTTCATCAACAATATCATAATCGTCCATTCATTCAGTTACGTCTCAGTTTTTGTTAAGGTTTACACTGAATTAGATTGGTTTAATCTTGATTTGAAGCTTTCGTGACTGCAGGAATCCGTACTCTTTGATTCTTTCGGTAAAGTCCACGTAGGTATAAAATAAAATAAAGCACGACGTTTCGGGCGCAACACAAGCGTCCATCATCAGGGACTTTACCGAAAGAACCAAACAGTATTTAAATTGGTTTGTTTTGTATTGAGGAAGAAAAAAAATGTGTATTCAACATTAAATTTCATTGTTTGTTTTTTTGTATTTCCAGGTGTTGGAAGGCTTGTACCTGGGCAACATTAAAGGTGCGGTATTTTAAATGCATTTGAATCGTAATATCTTATTTCTGGGTTTCTGGCAATTATATATACAGTGGTCCCTCGTTTATCGCGGGGGATATGTTCTAAAAATAACCCGCAATGGACGAAATCCGCGAAGTAATCAGCTTTATTTTTTACAATTATTATACATGTTTTAATGCCGTAAAACCCCTAACCACACACTTTTATACACTTTTCTCAGACACGCATTAACATTTTCTCACATTTCTCTCTTATTTAAACACTCTCAAAGTTCAAACTTTCGCAGATTTAAAAAAATAAGTACAATATAAGTAAATGAAACCAAAGATCAAAACCTGTTTTCAAGCCCAAACATTTTTGTAAATCTGGCTAGCCGAACGCATTCTGTACTCCCTTAGCCAATCAGGACGCAGAACACACGTGCGGTTCTCCCTTAGCCAATCAGGACGCCGAACACAATGCGCGTTCATACTGTACGCAGGAACAAAAAGCATGCAAAATTACACTAAAAAAAATCCGCGAAAGGTGAACCGCGTTATAGCGAGGGACAACTGTATATTTGTATTTTACCCGGTTGTAAGGGCCCTACTGAGCTCTGTTGCTACTTTTTCAGAAGCAATACGGTTATCACAAATGATAGCTCAACCAAGTGGCGGATATCATCATCACGTGGACATGTTTAGCAGCGGGCAAATGACTCTGAAACGCGTGATGTCCGTCTTAAACGTGGAGGGACATTACAGCTTGCGTCCAAACATTCATAACAGCCACACCTAGAAGGCACTGACTTTGGAAAAATCTTTAAAAAAAAAAAACTTTCATAGAAGGCCGAGTAATCTCTCGGCTCAAAACAAACATGGGGCGGCGCTCATCTGCCTTCGCGGCCCTCTTGTGTCAGTCGTGGAAATTCCACGTTCCCATGGGCGAGGACGAGTATATCCATAGGATGGGGGACCGTGGCTGACTTTCCACAAGGGTGTGGCGGCTCCTTTGATCGACCCCAGAGAGATTTGGCCGGGTGGTGGCTCGGCCCATCATCCACGTGGAGGGGTCGATAAAATAGGTACCGCTTTGTGAGGGAGTCGACAGTAGTTGTCCCACGGATAGACATGCCCATCACTGCCTCAGTTCTTTAAACAGATGAGCACTGCCTCATTGTTCGTTTTGGCAGGGAATCACTTTTGCAAGCGATGGTCATGGTGGTCAGTACTGGACTGGGATTTTAAACTTGCTGCTGGGATTTAAACACAGGTACTTGTGTACCTGTGTGTACGTTAGCTACGAATCCGGCGACCCAAGTTCGATTCCCGCTCACGGCCAACACCGGTGACGATGATCTGATCTGGTTTTGGGCCTCCCCTAGTTCGAGTACGTGGTGCAGTGTGTAAACATCCTCACTGGGGAGACAAAAGGCGGCCGGGCGTGGCGCTGGCAACCGAGCCGCCTCTCGTGTGCCGTGCTGGCCTTCATAGGTGCTCGCTAACAGCACTTGCCACAAGTCTATCAAAGGCCACACGAGGGATGTTCGTGTGGAGAGTGGTGGCGCAGTGGTTAGCGCATTGCGCTCACGGCCACCAACACCAGTGATGATTATCTGCACCGGTCCCGAGCCTCCCCTAGTTCGACTCGGCTTCAAAACGAGCAGCTTGCGCGATGTGCAGTAAACATCGCCGCTGGGGAGACAAAGGCGGCCGGGCGTGGTGCTGCCCACCCCCCCCCACCTCTCGTGTGTCGTGCCGGACTTAACAGCACTTGCCCCGACAGTGCGTTCAGGGGCTACACGGGGAGATCTTTGTCTGTTGTGTTTGTGTGAGATCTGGCATGCTGCTGTTTACTTACCCCCCCTCCCCCACCTCGCCAGATTCCGCCGACTTGAAGCAGCTGCGAGATCACAACATCACCCACATCCTGTCGGTGCACGATGCGGCCCGGGAGGCGCTTGAGGTGTGGGCACCACCATGAGGGGGTGGGGCTCAGGGGAGGTGGAGGGGGCAGAGGGTGGGGCCCTGTAGCTCCGTGCCAGAGGTCAAACCCAGCACGCAGCTTGACGTGCACTTGCTCGCCGTCTCTGACTTTTGCCTTGATCGACACACCTGCTCGTGAGCCATCCAGCAATGGCGCTTCAACGCAGGTTCCCAAAAGGTTAGCGGTTAGGTTTGGTGACCCATTGTGAACTCCCGAGAGACGGCCAGAACCCGGAGCTCGTGCTCGGGATGTGCAAAGTGTCTCTGACCTGGGCCCATTACGAAACCACTAACGATGAACCGCGCTCTTTGGTTCTATTCGGTAAAGTCTCGAGGACTGCGCTGGTCCCTTCACCTGATGAAGGCCGCTTGTGTTGTGGCCGAAACGTCGTGATTTTTTTGTCGTTTCATTTTTTTACCTACTACGTGACTTTACCGAACAGAACCACAGAGTATGATGGATCCTTGCAGTCGCGAAAGCTTCAAATCTGGGATGAACCACGCCTTGTGTTTTCGCTTCCTTCTGCGTGCGCCGTTTCTCTTGCGTAGGAAATGACCTACCTCTGCATCCAAGTTTCCGACACGCCTTCGCAGAACCTGTGAGTTCCACCGGCCTGTTGTAATCCCTTGCGCACACGCACGCCCCAACCCCCCCGGTTTTTTTTTTTTCAAACGACCGGACGTTTTGAGTTTACGCGTCGATTTTGTCGAACCTGTGTGAGAACTGGAGAGAGACCATCAACTGGTTCTTGGCTGGCCATCGAGCCAAGATGGTCACAGCACTTTCAGTTAAGCTAAGACATTTTTTTAAAAAATTATTATTTAAATCAGGAAAGGCCCATTGAGCTTATGTAGCTCTTTCTCAGAAGCGATCTGGCCACAAATGATAGCTCAACGAAGTGGCTTGCCACGTGGAAATTTATAGCAGCAGCCAAATACAGTGGTACCTCGGTACGCGTCGTTAATTTGTTCCAGAAGGTAGGAGGACTCATACCGAAAGCGACGTCTACCAAACGAATTTTTCCCATTAGAAATAAAGGTAAAGGAAATAATCCGATCCAGAGTATAAGAAATGATATTTTATACGGCATATTATACATTAATGGTGTTGTTTAATATAATGTAGACACTACTTATTACTAAAATGCATGCATAAATTAAAATAAATGCAAAAATAAATTTAAATAAATTGAAATAAAAATAAAATTTCACGTCACTTTACCTTGCTGAGAGGAGTTGATAGCCTACGAGGATGGTGGTGAGGAAGGGGAGGGGGAGAAGACGTGAAAATTCACAGAGAGTGTACAGCAAGGGGGTTGTGCACTGAACAAGAGCTACAGGCAGGCTGAGGAGCGGCGCTTCGTCTCAGTCGTGAACGGGGTCTACGCGGGTACACGGTGACTCATCCCGACCCATACAAGTTCTAGCAAGCAGCGCCTCGTATCCCAAGCAAGACATAGTATCACAAGACGTCTCACAAGCAAGACGTACCCCAAGCAAGACGTACCCCAAGCAAGACGTATCACAAGCAAGATGTACCCCAAGCAAGACATAGTATCACAAGCAAGACGTATCACAAGCAAGACGTCGTATCACAAGCAAGACGTATCACAAGCAAGACGTATCCCAAGCAAGACGTACCCCAAGCAAGACGTACCCCAAGCAAGACGTACCCCAAGAAAGACGTACCCCAAGCAAGACGTATGCCAAGCAAGATGTCGTATCACAAGCAAGACGTATCACAAGCAAGACGTACCCCAAGCAAGACGTACCCCAAGAAAGACGTACCCCAAGCAAGACGTATCCCAAGCAAGACGTATCCCAAGCAAGACGTATCCCAAGCAAGACGTACCCCAAGAAAGACGTACCCCAAGCAAGACGTACCCCAAGAAAGACGTACCCCAAGCAAGACGTACCCCAAGCAAGACGTATCCCAAGCAAGACGTATCCCAAGCAAGACGTATCCCAAGCAAGACGTACCCCAAGAAAGACGTATCCCAAGCAAGACGTACCCCAAGCGAGACGTATCCCAAGCGAGACGTATCCCAAGACATTTTTTTCTCGTCAAAACACGACCTATACCAAATTCGACGTATTCCAAAGCGGTCGTATACCGAGGTGTGTGACTGTACTCTGAATGCGAGTGGAGGGGAAAACTGGAGGACCCGGAGGAAAATCTACGTGACCACGAGGAGAACATGCAAATTCCAAATATACAGCAGCAAGCATCAGGGTTGGGATTGAACCCACAACCTTCTGTATACCAGGCGAGGTAGTTAACGTCTCCTAGCCACCGTGGCACCCATGCGTTTCTGGCGGCCGTCTGGAACGCTCTTCCTTCCGATCTTAAGGAAGCCACTGGCAGCTATGCACTTGAAAATCATCCAGATGGAAAACTAATTTCTTTAGAACTGCTTTTCGTGTGTTTAAGATTGTTGTCCTTACCCCCCTCCCCCACACCTCCGATTAGCGCGGTAAGACTATGTAAGGGATGAAAGAAATTCTGCGTACATACATGACGGTGGTGATGTTGATGATACGGCTGTTTGGAATTCTCTTCTTTCCGATATTCGGAAGCCGCTTCGAACCGTGCACTCTTGGATCTAGATTGAAAACCAATTATTTTAGAACGACGTTTCGCCAGTCATTACAACTAGCTTCGGGCGAAACAGCCAGTTGTAGTTACTGGCGGAACGTCGTACTCGGATTGTTAATGTTGTGGATTTGCTCTCCCGACACACCGGTGGTGCTGTACTAGTAACGAATTGGCCACGTTCTGTTTACGCGACAAACCTTACTAATTGGCTGTGTCGGGTGGTGACGGGTTTCACGACACATGAATGTTTACGCGATCTAACCCCCCAAAAAAAAGCGATATTATGGAGGAGTGGTAAATGCGTTGTTCAAAAGTGCCGAGTCCAGTGAAAAACTTTCTCCACAGCTAATGTAACAAAGTTTGCTAAGATACGATGTTAATACTACTACTACTCCTACACACCCTGCGCAGTGAGACGGCGTGTTCCAGGCGCTCTTATCTTTTTCTCTTCCGTCAGGACCCAGCATTTTAAAGATTGCATCCAGTTCATCCACAAGTGCCGCATGGAAAAGAAGGGCTGCCTTGTTCACTGGTAAGTTCCCACCCCCTCCGTTGGGTTTCTCTCCCACCTCTCGACCGTTTTCCGGTTCACCGTTGGCGCCGCTGAAACTCCACGCGCGTGAGTGAAACAGCGGCGCTGTACGATAATTAAGCGAACACCGGTGTTTATAATGATCTGCAGTAAAACCTTGGATTGCGAGCATAATTCGTTCCGGAAAACGTGTTTTGTAATCCAAATAACTCGTACATCAGTGTGTGATCACGTGACGCTCGGCAGTACAAAGCGTGTACACGTACTACTGCTCGTATTGCTAAGACCCTCGCTCGTTTATCAAATTAATATTTAATTAAAATTTTTGCTCGTCTTGCAAAACACTCGCAATCCAAGGTTTTACTGTATATCATCTCAGTCAACTTAAGGCACCTGCTGGGTCTGTCCCGTGACCTCCTGCCAGCAGCGAGAGCCTTCGACACTTCGCGTGGCCTCAAAGTGCACCTGGCCACGCACAGGCGCCGTGGTGACGTCACCGTCGCTTAGTGGCGAACGGCGGTTGTGTTGGTATTGGCATACTGCGGCTTCAACCTTCAACCTTCAACGATGCGAGTTCAACCCCGATGAAGCTTGGAGGGCTGAGTGGAGTTCAAAAGAACTCCCAAACAAACTCCTTGCCGTGAAAGCCCCAACGCGAAAGGTCCCCCCTGGGGTTTGATCTTCCACGAAGCTGCTCGTGGCCCACCGCCGAAACCCCACATCCATCGCACGAACCGTGGCAGATGCGGATACCTGATGCACACATTTAAAATGTAACTCTCCACTAGTAGTATGCGACTGTGGTCATCCAGAGCAGAACGTACGACCAATAATGACGCAGCGGCCCGATCCACAAATGCAAAGGACATCACAGCGATCGTGCACTCGGCTGGCTCCTGAAACGGTTATCTGGGCTCGACCACTTTAATGTGAAAATGTAGTCGTTGCTCTGCACCTACATGAGCAGCCACACGAAAGAAGGAGACGATTGCATCACGCAGTTGCACAACTGCGTTCATCATAATTAAATTGTGCAACGTTTAGGAGAGCATGCAGAAACTGTACACGTAACACAACTGCTGCACTTTACCAGGTGAACACAGCAAAAGCTTAATGGGCTCGCGTTTATTTCCACTGCAGTTACAAAGGGACGTGCACCATCAACATGCCAATTTTGCGTTTATCATCATTAGTTCAGAACGTCTCAGCGTTTCCCTCTACGTACGTATGTTGAACTTCTTTCGCCTCGTACGTAGCCGACCGGTGCTGATCGGAGGTGCGGGGGAAAACGGAAAAATAGCGGCGGCTTTTGGCTGGCCGTTGAACAAAGACGGTGCTTACCGCATCGTGCGGCGCTTTAAGATGTGCCCCTGCGGCCGTCTGGAACACTCTTCCTTCTGATATCAGGAAGCCACTGGAGCTATGCACGCATAAATCATCTAGATTGACAAAATCATTTCGTTAGAACTGATTTTCGTGATTAGTTTGTTGCACTTCCCTCCGCACCTCTGATCAGCACGTACAAATGCGAAAGAAGTTCAACAAATGTACGTTACATGTACGCACGCCGCGGTTTAACTTAACCACCCCTTGGCTTCCTGCTAACTCTCCCTCTCTCTGTATGCATTCTTCTCTGTCACTCTCGCCCTCGTGGTTGTCGCCTTGCATCTGGGGGGAGACCCAAGCACGTCTCCCTTTCACTTCTGCATTCCCTTATGTGGTCGCGAGGACGGTCCTGCCACTAGCATGCTGCGTCACTAATATACCGTTTGTTATTCTTGGTTCTTTCGGTAAAGTCACCACGTAGAAGGGAAACAATAAAAATATAAAACAATAAAATTCTCACGACGTTTCGACTGCAACACGAGCAATCATCATCAGGTGATGATGATGATTGCTCTTGTCATCAGGTGATTGCTTGTGTTGCAGTCGAAACGTCGTGAGAATTTTATTGTTTTTGACTTTACTGAAAGAACCAAGAATATGAATCCCTGCAGTCATGAAAGCTTTAAATCAAAATGTACTGTTATTTGTTACGCATGTGTTTTTTTTTTATTGAATGCTGTTTTGTGATACTGTACACTCACCACCTACCCACTCATTCACTCATACACTCATCCACTCACACGGTGACCCACTCACTCATTCACCCACCCACCCATTCTTCTACCCACTCGCCCACCCACCCATTCTTCTACCCACTCATTCACCTACTCACTCGCCTACTCACGCACCCATTCATTTTCATACCCACTCACCACTCATTTACCTACTCACCCACTCGCTCACCTACTCACTCATTCTACCTACTCACCCTCCCACTCATTCACCTACTCATCCACCCGCACACCCACTCATTCACCTACTCTCACCCACCCACCCATAAATTCTCCTACCAACTCACCCGCTCATTCACCCACTCACTCACCCACCCACCCACCCACAAATTCTCCTACCAACTCACCCGCTCATTCACCCACTCACTCAGCCACCCACCCACAAATTCTCCTACCAACTCACCCGCTCATTCACCCACTCACTCACCCACCCACCCACAAATTCTCCTACCAACTCACCCGCTCATTCACCCACTCACTCAATCACCCACCCACAAATTCTCCTACCAACTCACCCGCTCATTCACCAACTCACCCACCCACAAATTCTCCTACCAACTCACCCGCTCATTCATCCACTCAACCACCCACCCACAGATTATCCTACCAACTCACCCGCTCATTCACCCACTCACTCACCCACCCACCCACAAATTTTCCTACCAACTCACCCGCTTACTCACCCACCCACTCACCCACCCACCCACAAATTCTCCTACCAACTCACCCGCTCATTCAGCCACTCAACCACCCACCCACAAATTCTCCTACCAACTCACCCGCTCATTCACTCACTCACAAATTCTCCTACCAACTCACCTGCTCATTCACCCACCCACAAATTCTCCTACCAACTCACCCGCTCATTCACTCACTCACAAATTCTCCTACCAACTCACCCGCTCACTCACCCACCCACTCACCCACCCACCCACAAATTCTCCTACCAACTCACCCGCTCATTCATCCACTCACCCACCCACCCACAAATTCTCCTACCAACTCACCCGCTCATTCACCCACTCACTCACCCACCCACAAATTCTCCTACCAACTCACCCGCTCATTCACTCACTCACCCACCCACCCACAAATTCTCCTACCAACTCACCCGCTCATTCACCCACTCACCCACCCACAAATTCTCCTACCAACTCACCCACTCACCCACCCACCCACGTCACTCTTTGCCAAACCAACCTCGTCGGTTGTCGCGCGTGGCTCTTGCCAAACCCTGTGAATCACAAATCGACGCGAGGCTGTAATCGTCGTTGAGCCGCTGCCGCCGCTGTCGCCGTGTCGGCAGCCTGGCGGGCGTCTCGCGGAGCGTCACCATGGTGGTGGCCTACATCATGACGGTGACGTCGCTGGGCTGGGAGGAGGCCATGGTGGCGGTGAAGACGGCCAGGACCTGCGCCAACCCCAACCTCGGCTTCCAGCAGCAGCTGCAGATGTTCCAGAACGAGCAGCTCGCGGAGGTGGGCAGAGACACGGGGAGGGGTGGGGCGGTCATCGCGCCCGCGTCCGTGGGTCGACAGGGACGGGGAGCCGTGGTGGCTGGGAGATGTTATCTCCCTCGCCCTGTATGCGGGAGGTCGTCGTGAGTCCGATCCCGACCCTAACGCCTCTTCTATATTTAGAGCCCGCGTGCTCTCTCTTTTGCTCTCCCTGTGGTAGCGTGGAATTTTCTCCGGGCCCTCCAATTTTTTCCCTCCACATTTAGAATCGGCGTCACACGTTGAGAGCATTTATACGTTTCCACGTGATGGCGACGGGCCACTTGGTTGAGCTATCATTCGTGATGGGCTAGGTCACTTCTGAAAAAAATTGTTATCGAGCTCAGTGGGCCTTAGCTGGGAAGCGAAAAGAATAATTGTAGTTTTGTCTCCTCCTACTGGCAAACCGATGGCCGCTTTGCAGGCCAGGTGCTGGGTTTCGTCTGTCCCGCACAGGGGCAGCTGCCACTGGGGGTGCCCTTTACAAATGTGGGTGCTCTGGGAAGTGAAGTGCGCGATATAAAAAAAACCCCACGTCATTAATTGCGTTTTTTACAGGCGAATGTGAAGTTGCTATTTGTCATATCAAGCAAGTAATTGGCATCTGGACTCTCAGCACCGGGATGTTTTTGGGCCAGTATCAGTTATATGTTGCACGGTTATTTTGTTTTGTAGTTGTGGGAAGGAGCCAGAGAAACCGGACGAAGGCCATGCAGAGCAGGGGGAGAGAATACAATCTCCACTGGCTCACACACGCACGTTCACTCACGCTCTGCAGAGCAGGGGGGGGACGAACAAACTCCACTTCCGCGTTCGCCGCGAGAGTCCGCGTGGGTCCGTGTCCGTCTGTGCGGGTGTCCGTGCGTGTGTCCGTGTTGGTCCGTGTGTGCGTTCACGTGGGTCCGTGTGTGTGTCCGTGTTGGTCCGTGTGTGCACCCACGTGGGTCCGTGTGTGCGTCCGTGTTGGCGGTCCGCGTTGCTCCGTGTGTGCGCGTCCCCTACCCCTGACCTGTACTACCCCTTGGTGTGCGCGTGCAGACGCGCCGGTGGCTGCGCGCGGAGTTTGGGGAGCCGTCCCCGGACGACGAGCTGGAGGCCCGCGCCCTGCTCGCCCGGCACGAGCAGCAGCAGCAGGAGCACCGCGACACCAGGGACGGGGCACACTGGCCGCCGAGGGGACAGCCGTACTCACTGCACCTCGGCTCCTCGCGGCCAGACAGGGACAGCTTCCACTAGCAGGGTGGTGGGGCGGACGAGGTGGGGTGCGGATGGAGGGGGAGGGGAGGGGGGGTTTGACGCGCGTGGGTCCGTCCCTGTGGGTCCCCTGTGGGTCCCTGTGGGTCCCTGTGGGTCCCTGTGGGTCCCTGCGGGTGTGTGTGGGTGGATCCGTGTGTTCGTCCGTGTGGGTCCGTGTTGGTGAGTCCGTGTGGGTGGGTCCATGTGGTTGAGTCAGTCTCTGCATCCGTGTGGGTCCCTGTGGGTCCCTGTGGGTCCCTGTGGGTCTGTCTGTGGGTCCCTGTGGGTCCCTGTGGGTCTGTCTGTGGGTCCCTGTGAGTCCCTGTGGGTCTGTCTGTGGGTCCCTGTGGGTCCCTGTGGGTTCCTGTGGGTCTGTCTGTGGGTTCCTGTGGGCCGTGTGTGGGTCCGTGTGGGTGGGTCTGTCTGTGGGTCCCTGTGGGTCCCTGTGGGTCCCTCTGGGTCTGTCTGTGGGTCCCTGTAGGTCCCTGTGGGTCCCTGTGGGCCGTGTGTGGGTCCGCGTGGGTGCCTGTTGGTTCGTGCGAGTCCCTGTGGTTCCGTGTGTGTGCGTGGGTTCCGTGTGTGTGTGTCCCCCTACCCCTGGTGTACCATCCCCTCCATACTTAACTCCCTGTTCAGTGTAGGGTCCCATTAAGGTTGAGTCCAAGTGTGAATGGGGCGCCGCGGTGGCGAGATGTTAACTACCTCGCCTGGTATACAGAAAGTCGTGGGCTCAAGCCCCCCGACCCTTGACGCCTGCTGTGTATTTGTAGCTTGCGTGTCTCTCTCTCCCCGTGGTCGTGTGGATTTTTTTCTCCGGGTCCTGCGGTTTCTCCCTCCGCGTTTAGATTGGAATCGACGTGCGTTCAGAGTTACCTGGCCGCTGTAAAATTCCCACGTGACGATGGTGTAAGCCGCTTTTGTTGTGCTCTCATTCGCGATGGGCAGGTCACCTCTGAAAAAGAGCTGCAGCGCCGGGGCCTCGCCTGGTTAAAATAAAACAAAAAGCCGAGTAGTTTTGAATGCAGGGCTACTCTCACAGAGAGGGCCCGGTGTGAACAGAGCCGCGTTGCTTGTCGGGGCTTGCCCCAGAGAAAACCTGGCCAGATCCGTGAAGAGACGTTGCCCAAAGCTTGTCCGTCCGCGTTGTCAGTCTCTCTGAAACTGAGGGGGGGGGGGGGAGTGGGGGGGGCGGGGGTTCAGGACGACTCCCGTAGCGTTCGATGCCAAGCGAATAAAGACGTTTAGTTAACCGAGCCGCGTTTGCCTCCCGGGACGTCACCGTAGAGAGGGAAAACCGGGCGACATTGATGAGCGCGGTCGGCTACGTACGGTGCCAGTGAAGCTCAACGCATGCACGCACGCGCACGTACACGCAGAGGGTGGGGGGGGGGGGGGGGAGGGGGACGCAAGCGAGGGCAGAATTGACTGCGTAAAGACGCGAGTGGACCTCGCCCTGCGCGACGGTCCCCCACGTGTCTAGCTTCCGTACGCACGAAAGTCCTGCTGGTCCCGTGGGTTAGGAAGCGGTTTCCCCACCCCCACCCACCCCACCCACCCCCCCCCCATGCCCTAACGCTGGCTGCACGTTCGGGGAGCGGATCACCCTCGCAATCGCGCAACTCGATCAACCGCAACCGCTTTGTTCCCATCCGAGCAAGTGCTTGCGTAACAACGACTGTGAAACGGTCGCGTTGAAAATACAGCAACGGCCAATCGGGAGTTCGCAGGCGTCTTCGTCACGTGGCCGGCGAAACGCGTCGCTGCGAATCGCAACTCCACCGCGGGCAACTGAGTGGCAACCGGTTGCGAGCAGCCGTACGGAGGTACACATGCCGAGTTTCTTTCGATCCCCCGCACCTCGGATTATAACATGGTCGGCTGCGTACGCCGCCGAAGACGTTCAACGTAAAGTCGGCGCTTGGGCACCGGTAACAATTCCACATGCCTGTGACGGGCGCCTGTCCATCCAGGAAACGAGCACTTTTGGCCAGCGCAAGTTGAAGCCATAGCCGTGCCCTGACTCAAAACAAAACAAAAAAAAAATCTCCCAGCATCCATGAACCAGCCGTGGAAATTCCACATTCCCGTGACGGGCGCCAGACCATCCGCGGAACGAGCGCAGTTGGATGACCGCTCGATCGAGGGGCGACACGTGGGGGTGACGCGGGCGTGTGATGCGGCGGGTGACAATTTAAGGACGAGTGGGCGACGGACGGCTGATCCCGAGTGCGTAAAAACATCTCTGCTCTCCCCCGCGTGCCAGTGGCCTGGCCTGTATGGCCGCCCGGTGTGGGTTTGTCTCTCCGATGGCCACGTTACGGGTCGGAGGTTGCGGGGAAAACTGCGTTTGGCCGATTCGATTCATTAAAATTTGGCCCGAGTTAATTTTACAACGGTCCCAATACGAACCAAAAAAAAAAAACCGCGCGGGTTTACGCGGCACCGAAGTGGGACCGACTCAAAAATAGCGGGGCTTCATTCCTTTACAGACAGGGGCAGTCAAGTCATGGGTCTCCGTGCGAGTCCCTGGGTCTCCGTGCGAGTCCCTGGGTCTCCGTGCGAGTCCCTGGGTCTCCGTGCGAGTCCCTGGGTCTCCGTGCGAGTCCCTGGGTCTCCGTGCGAGTCCCTGGGTCTCCGTGCGAGTCCCTGGGTCTCCGTGCGAGTCCCTGGGTCTCCGTGCGAGTCCCTGGGTCTCCGTGCGAGTCCCTGGGTCTCCGTGCGAGTCCCTGGGTCTCCGTGCGAGTCCGTGGGTCTCCGTGCGAGTCCCTGGGTCTCCGTGCGAGTCGGTGTGAGCCCGTGGGTCTCCGTGCGAGTCCCTGGGTCTCCGTGTGAGTCCCTGGGTCTCCGTGCGAGTCCCTGGGTCTCCGTGCGAGTCCCTGGGTCTCCGTGCGAGTCCCTGGGTCTCCGTGCGAGTCCCTGGGTCTCCGTGCGAGTCCGTGGGTCTCCGTGCGAGTCCGTGGATCTCCGTGTGAGTCCCTGAGTCTCCGTGCGAGTCCGTGGGTCTCTGTGCGAGTCCGTGGGTCTCCGTGCGAGTCCGTGGGTCTCCGTGCGAGTCTTATGTACCGTCGAAATGCAACCGTATCTCAAGATGCAGTTCGTGGAACGGTGACTGTTTATGTTACGTATATAGAGAAACAAAGAGAGAGAGAGGCAGTCGGACCCGGGCAGAGGAGAATGTCTTGAGCCTGGACAGGAGTTTGGGGTACAGGGGCCAGTGTTGGCACTCTGTAGAGGAAGCCAAGCAAAATATTAAGGAGTCCCCAGCAATCCAAGGGGCTGCAGATTCACAAAGAAAAAAAAAACAGATTTGGGAATTGCACCAAATATTGGCTCGAATGCAGATTCTGGTAAACATTAAAACGCCAATTAACCCTTCACGTTAAAGTTCGGTTCTGTGCTTCATTTGGCTGGACTCCGGCCATGCGAATCGACGGCGACGAACCTCGCCCTCGTACGAGAGAGCGGGTGGCGACCAGAGGTCGCTTGATGAAGAAGGGATCTCGGAAGTAGCTCTATCGTATCCACTTCCGCGTGCCGTTCTGTCCGGAGCAGAGTGTTGCTTGAATGAGAAGCGATCTGAAGGTTAATGCTGAAAGGTGTTTTAACCCTCGTTAATACTGAAGGCATATTAACCCGTGTCAATGCCGGAATGTTTTATTAACCCTGGTTAATACTGAAGGCGTATTAACCAAGAGCAAACTCGGTCTGCCTGCGATGCCGGCGATTGCAGATTTCCCAAGTTTTGGCAAACGCACCCACAGATGACCTCATTTGGGATTAAGTAACACGGCGACATCGCTCCCGTACTGAGAATCGACTGCAGGCTGTTCTGGCCACGCTCGTTTTACCCCCCCGACCCCCCACCCCCCAGCGAAGTGTCGCCGAGTCTCAGGACTCTCTTGCAGGAGGCTCCTGCCAAGTTTTCGCGGCGGTGGCGGTGGCGGTGTTACGTTATTTATATCCCACCGTTGACTAATTTGCGCAGGTACGTTCGTCAGCATCGGGATGTACGTTTTGTTGGCCAGTTGCCGTCACGGTCTACGCAAGCACGCAAGCGGGCGCGTGCTGTGTTGCGTGCTTGTTCCAGCTGCTGGAGGAAACCGGAGAAACCCGGAGGGAACCCACGGCAGTACGTGAGTGGGGCGGGGGGGCGGAGAGAAAATGTTCAAAACTCCCAAGTTTGGTTTTTGCTGACCTGTCTGTAGGGATTGTTGAGCGCTGCTCCCCTCCCGCCTCTCCTCATTCCGCGTGGGTTCTTTTTTTGATCGTGGCACGTGGAACAAAGGTGGTAGCGCCCTCCCGACAGTGTCGGTGTACATACGCGTACGGTACCGTATGCTGAACTTCTTCCGGACCACCGTACATCGCCAGCGGCGCTAATCGGAGGTGCGGGGGAAAGGCCAACACACTCAACGCAACGAGCAGTTTTGAAGAAGTGAATTTGGCAATCTAGATGATTTTAAAAGTGCACAGCTCCCAATGGCTTCCTGATATCGGTAAGGAAGAGCGTTCCAGACGGCCGCAGAAGCGCGTCCGAAAGTGCGCACGTTGCAAGCTTTGTTCGATGGCTAGCCAAATTTTTTTTAATGTATTTTAAACTTCTTTCGCACCGTACGTAGCCAACCGCGGCAACAGGAGGTGCGGGGGAAGGACAACTAAACGCAAAAAGCAGTTTCCAAGAAATGAATTTGTCAATCTAGATGCGGTAGCTGTCAGTGAGGCTCTCCTTTGGTGAAGGAACAAATGATCGCCCCTTTTTTCCACTGCACAACCGAGCCGTGCCACGCGGACCGACTCGAGACGCGTGCGGGGACGACCGCCGGCGGTGACGCTGTGGGTGTGTCGCTTAACATGTCGTACCGACGGTTGGCCGCGTACGGCGCAAAAGGAGTGTGGCGTACGTGCAAAAAGACAAAGATCCCCCCCCCCGTGTTGGCCTGCGAAACCCGGCACGGCAAACACTGGGGGTGGGTGGCCAGCACCACACTTGGGCCACCTTGGTCTCCGTTAGTTGCAATGTTTACTATACACCGCACCAGGTACTCATTTGAGGCTCAGTCGACCTAGGGGTAGGCCCAGTACCGGTTCAAATAATCGTCACTGGTGGTGGCTGTGAGCGGGAATCGAACCCGGGCCACCCGATTTGTAGCGCAGCGCACTAACCGCTACACAACGTACATGCGTAACGTCACACACATTGAACCCGTCTATTAGCCCCGCTCTCCTTACCCCGATTGGCTCCGAGCTAGAGTCGGATTGTCTTGCGATGCCACCAGCGTATCACATTTGGTTCCGGCGTAGCTTTGCGAACGGCTGCAGTGGAAAAACGACGCGTACCGTGCCAGCCCCACGCTGGCTCGAATGTTGCCAGTGGAAAAGCGACGCGTACCGTACCGGACCCACGCTGGCTTGGCTGGGATCTTGCCATTGGAAAAAGGGTGTATGTATATTGCTACGATTATTAACTTGTTTACTTCACAATTATCCATTGTGTTTTATTTTGTTTGTAATTCAGGTTTTTATTTTATGCAATTAATATATATATTTTTTCCCGCAGTGGTGCGTTTAAATGAATTAACAAGCAATGGAATATCAGCCCCCCCCCTTTTAAGGAAGTGGCAGTTTAATCGTCATTTGTAAAATTGCCGGCAATTTTGTTGTTTTACAAACTGCAAATGTCATTTTGAAAGTACAGATACATATATATGAACTTGGCATGAATTTTAGACTTTAACATTTAGTACAGATTTTTTTTGTACTATTTAAGAGCAGTTTATCAGATGCTTGGATGTCTACGATGTGCTAAGGTGGCTCGTAATGCCAAAGGGGACGCCACGCTACGTCACGTCTTAACAGGACAGCGGCGGGAACCGATGCTGCGTTTCGCTCCGTGTGATTTGAAGTCGGCATCCTGAAAAAGCCTCCCAGTACGCGGCTGCGAAACGTCGGACGTCCCTCTGAACAACACCGCGGCGCAACCGGAATGAAACGCGCACGCGGGAGAAATGGAGGGATCAATTCGTCACCTTATTTTATCAGCCCCCTCCCAGGGAGTTGAAGATGGTGATGATGTGCCGAGTTGACCGCCGAGTGAAAGGCAAACAAGGCGCAGCACCGCAATTCCCTTCTCAAGCCACCGCCGGCAGAAGTTGTCTCCGCAGACGGCCCCCCTCTCTCTCGAGTGCAATTCTGGCCTTTCTCTTCCACCTTTGGGCTGGAAGTTACCCACACTTTAGTGCCACCACGCGATACCCGTGTTGAAAGAGGTGAAAAAAATATTTTTAAAAATGTGTAGTTTTTGTTTAGTGCAAATACGATCATTTTAAGAAGCAGTGCTACGGGTTTTTTTTGTTGTTGTTGCACTGTCTCAATTTGTTTTTGTTATCCACCATCAATTCGACCCAAGTGGCGACGCGAGTTTTTTTGTTGTTTTTAAAGGCGTGCCCGGAGTGAGATTTTTTACAATATACGGTCCAATAAAACCAGCTTGTAAAAAACAAAAACTTTCACCCCTGGTGTCCGTCTGTGTCATCCCACGTACGGTACAGTATCTTCTTAATCTTTTATGGCGGAGATCCCAAGGTCACTTGTTGAAATGTGTTGGGAGGTTTTGTGCTTCGTATTCTGTTCTTCCCCCGCACCTCTGATGAGATCTGTTGGGCTACGCACGGTGTGCGAAATACGTTCAACATACATAGACTCGCACACAGAGACCCATAGACTCGCACATAGAGGCTCATTTAGAACGGTTGTTTTGTGTTTAGTTTGTTGCAAGGACGTAGCCATGGAGTCAACATTGGGGCATTGGGGGGGGGACAAAATCTTCCAGGGGTCTGGGAGTCCCCCCCCCCCCCCCCCAGAAAAGAAATCTAAATTTGAAAGCGAATTTCCTGCCAAAAATATTTAAAAATTCACTAACACGTAAGATGGACTTTTTATTTTTTACAATAATGTCTAATAGTGTATATTGAATTACATTGCTCTGTTTTTTATTTTTTTAATCTTGTTTCATTGTATGTAATGGCAGAGATTAGGGATTAATAAAGTAACAACCATAACCACAATCATATAAACATAAATCTATTTTATAGCAATATATTGGGGGGGGGGGGGACATTTTGAGCATCTTTGAATATCATAATTTACGGCCTTGACTCACACAGAGACTCATTTAGAAGTGTTTAGTTGTCCTTCCCCCGCACCTCCGATTAGAACGGTTGGCCACGTCCGGTCATCGAAATACGTTCAACATACATCGACTCGCACAGACCCATAGACTCGCAATCAGAATACACCTCCACTGGAGGAATCCGATGAGCTATAAAGCTTTTTTTGACAGGCGTCCAGTAGGGGGCGGGAAAGAACGCCACCACAACAAAAAGTACAAAGGCATGTGATAATCATGCAAAGTCCAAGAAAGAAATCATTCAAAACACAAATAAAACTAAACCATCCGGTAGCCGGTCCGTGGCCTGTTAGGAACGGGGCGACGCAGCACGTGGTGAGCGGCAAGTCCGCGCGTGGCCCGACAATGATTTTATGACACGTTTTATTTTTCCATGTAAAGCTTTCGTGACCGCAGGGAATTCATATTCTCGGTGCTTTCGGTAAAGTCACCACGTAGAAGGGAAATAATAAAATAATGCAAATAAAATTAAACAATTACAATTCTCACGGCGTTTCGATTGCAGCACAGGCATTCATCATCAGGTGTGAAAACCACAGCAAGAAAAAAACGCCACTTTTTAAAAATTGCGATAAAAATATTAAAAAAAAAAATATTGCGATGCTATGTAAATAACAATTCCCTAAACCTTGGCCACAATATCTGGACAATGCATAGATTTCTGTTTATATGATTGTGGTTATGGTTGTTACTTTATTAATCCCTAATCTCTGCCATAACATACAATGAGACAAGGTAGAAAATATAAAAACAGCGCAATGTAATACAATACACCATTAGACATTGTCTAATGGTGTTCGTGAATTTTTTGCTATATTTTAGGCAGGAAATTAGTTTTCAAATTTATATTTTTTCTGGGGAGGGGGGACCCCAGACCCCCCGGAAGATTTGATCCCCCCCCCCCCTAATGTTGATTCCATAGCTACGACCTTGCTATACACTACATTATACACTACACTATAATTACATACCTGTCAACCCCTTATCAGTGCGTGTACCCGATTACATACCAGACATTATTGCTCACCCCGTGCCCTTATACAATCTCAACGTTCGTCCTACAAAGTCCCATCGCAAGGCGATAAAACTCAACTAATTTAGTTTGCCCGTATTGAAAAGGCTGGTTACGCCGCTTCGACCCCAAAACTCAAATGTCCCCTATAACAAGAACACGGGGGGTGGTTACCCCGTGTTATGGATTGACATCTACGGCAATACAAGCGACATCACACCACCACCGGTATTCATATTCTTGGTTCTTTCTTTAAAGCTTTTACATCCAAATTTAAGACCCCGCCACCACGGCTTGCTTCGCGAAAAACGAAAGCAGAAACCGAACTTCCTCCTCCTCGTGCAACGCTTTAGAAAGGCAGCCAATGGCAGAGACCCACAGCGACTCTCTCGTCCTGCGACATTTCACTTCCTCAAAGGGGAGCTTTGGCTTGGCGTGGCATCCTCCTTAGTGGTGGTGGTGGGGGGTGTGTGGGTGGGTGGAGGAGAAAGGGGAGCTGTGTTGTTGGCTCGCAGGTTCAAAAGGAGAAGAAGTGCGAACGAGTTTATAAGGAAGAAGCTTTCCACCCCCGGGAACCAGCCGAAGTCTTCCACGACTGTCAGGGTCGTGGTGGCAGCGACACTTCCATAACAACACACGGGAGGAGGAGGAGCAGGAGGATGGAGGGCGGTCGCTCCGAACTATCGCTGCGTTTGGACCAAAGTGTGTAAGTGGGCTGCCAAAGAGGATATTTACCCATCGACGTCGCTGCTTTTGCGGATTCAGACATCGAGGCGATGGATTAGAGCGGTTGGACACGTACGGTGCGAAAGAAGTCCTCCCCCCTCCCACTCCTCCCCTGTGCTGGGGTTCCCCATCCGTCCGTGTGGCATGGAGCGAACGGCGGTGACTCTGGGCGGCGTGGGGTCGGCCCAGCCCGTGGTAGGGGTGAATAACGTGATTCAAGGTGAGTGTGGCGGGGTGAGTGTGTGGGGTGAGTGTGAGTGAGTGTGGGGGTGAGTGAGTGTGTTGGGTGAGTGAGTGTGGAGGTGAGTGTGGGGGTGAGTGAGTGTGGGGGGTGAGTGAGTGTGGGGGTGAGTGAGTGTGTTGGGTGAGTGAGTGTGGGTGAGTGTGGGGGGTGAGTGAGTGTGGGGGTGAGTGAGTGTGTGGGTGAGTGAGTGTGGGGGTGAGTGAGTGCGTGGGGGTGAGTGAGTGCGTGGGGGTGAGTGAGTGTGTGGGTGAGTGAGTGTGGGGGTGAGTGAGTGAGTGTGGGGGTGAGTGAGTGTGGGGGTGAGTGAGTGTGGGGGTGAGTGTGTGAGTGTGGGGGTGAGTGTGTGAGTGAGTGTGGGGGTGAGTGAGTGTGGGGCTGAGTGAGTGTGGGGCTGAGTGAGTGTGGGGCTGAGTGAGTGTGGGGCTGAGTGAGTGTGGGGGTGAGTGAGTGTGGGGCTGAGTGAGTGTGGGGCTGAGTGAGTGTGGGGGTGAGTGAGTGTGTGGGTGAGTGAGTGTGGGGGGGTAAGTGAGTGGTGGGAGTGAGTGAGTGGTGGGGGTGAGTGAGTGGTGGGGGTGAGTGAGTGTGGGGGTGAGTGCGGGGGGGGTGAGTGAGTGGTGGGGGTGAGTGTGGGGGTGAGTGTGGGGGTGAGTGAGTGTGGGGGTGAGGGTGAGTGAGTGTGGGGGGTGAGTGAGTGTGGGGTGAGTGAGTGGTGGGGGTGAGTGTGGGGGTGAGAGTGGTGTGGGGTGAGAGTGTGTGGGGTGAGAGTGTGTGGGGTGAGAGTGTGTGGGGGTGACGTGTGGGGGGTGAGAGTGTGTGGGGTGAGAGTGTGTGGGGTGAGAGTGTGTGGGGTGAGAGTGTGTGGGGTGAGAGTGTGTGGGGTGAGAGTGTGTGGGGTGAGAGTGTGTGGGGTGACAGTGTGTGGGGTGAGAGTGTGTGTGGGGTGAGAGTGTGTGGGGTGAGAGTGTGTGGGGTGAGAGTGTGTGGGGTGAGAGTGTGTGGGGGGTGAGAGTGTGTGGGGTGACAGTGTGTGGGGTGACAGTGTGTGGGGTGAGAGTGTGTGGGGTGAGAGTGTGTGTGGGGTGAGAGTGTGTGGGGTGAGAGTGTGTGGGGTGACAGTGTGTGGGGTGACAGTGTGTGGGGTGAGAGTGTGTGGGGTGAGAGTGTGTGGCGTGAGAGTGTGTGGGGTGAGTGTGTAGGGGTGAATGGGGGGTGAGTGGGGGGTGAGTGTCGGGGTGAGTGTCAACCCACGGACGGCACCAGGGTCTGTCACGTGGTGGTCTCAAAGTGCACCAAGCCTGACACAATCACCGTCGTGATATCGCCACCACTTAGTGGCGAATAACTTGTTGTTTGTACAGTACGTTGTTGTTGTTTGTACATTATGTGGTTTGGTTGTTGTAAGTGGGGAGCGGTGGCGAAGTGGTGCGCGCACTGCGCTCAGAATCCAATTCGCGCTCGCGGCCAACACCGGTGACGATAATTACAGAATTATCTGTCGCGGTACTGGGCCTCCCCTAGGTCGACTCGGCCTCAAATAAAGTACCTGCTATGATGTGTCAACCAGCGGCGTGTTGCTGGCCACCGCCCACAACCCTTGAGTCACGTTCCGAACTCCGTAAGCACTTGCCCTAACTGTGTGGTCAAGGCTACACGGGGGAGCTTTGTCTTTGCGTGTGCAGCTCCGTTTACAATTGCCATGGGCAGTGTGCTCATGACCAGCTCCGGATTGACAGCAGAGGTCTCAACCCCTGACGAATTTGTCGAGCGGCATTATCCAGGCAGTCCTCGACTTACGATGGAGGTGCGTTACGACAACCCCCATCGTAAGTCAAAAATATCGTAAGTCGATGATGGCCTTAGCCTACCCAGGAGTCATCTTCTTTGGTTCTTTCGGTAAAGTCACGTAGAATGAGAATAAAATAATAAATTGATAAAATAAAATAATACAATAATATTCTCACGACGTTTCGGCCACAACACAAGCGGCCTTCATCAGGTGAAGGGACGAGACTGTCTGGTAGGACAGCGCTGGGAGTGAAAAAAGCCACGTTCAGATCACGCCCTTTAAGCTGTGTGAGAGGAACAAAGCGCCTTGACAAAGGACAGCTTAAAGGCCGTGATCTGAACGTGGCTTTTTTTTTCACTCCAGCGCTGTCCTACCAGACAGTCTCGTCCCTTCACCTGATGAAGGCCGCTTGTGTTGTGGCCGAAACGTCGTGAGAATATTATTGTGTTATTTTATTTTATCAATTTATTATTTTATTCTCATTCTACGTGACTTTACCGAAAGAACCAAAGAAGATGAATCCTTGCAGTCACGAAAGCTTTAAATCGAAATCTACCCAGGAGTCTTAAAGAATGGTGATAATTGAGCAAAGCAAAGCAATTTACAGTACCGTACTCTATAAAACTATATACTGTCTGTATTTATTAATTACAATACTCTGTTGCACAGTAAAATGTAAATTATTAGCCTACCTAATATGAACTGCAGTTTAATAGAAGTTTTTTTCAGAAAACAATCCTATCTGCTATAAAAAATATAAACTTTTAACATGCATCGAACGTATCCGTAGCTCGTATGCTGCTGCTGTGTTTGCCTGCCGCACTAAATTTAAAATATTTAACAATTTTGTCGCTATCGCCATCGTAAGATCGAAATATCGTAAGTCGGGAAACATCGTAACTTTGGGGACTATCTGTATATTTGTTTTTTGGTCACCTGCATGGAAGCTACCCGGGTCTGTCGCTTCCGCACGAAGCTTCGGGTCTTCTCGGCCACGGTCATTCAGTTTCAGTTTCATTTATACTGGTAGGAGCGAAGTTGTAAACTGAGTGTACCAGCCTGCAATAGATTAATGTGTCCGTCCGTCCGTCCCCTTTCAATACTTTAACGAAGTGAAATCTCGTGCTGTTGGGTGTAAAAATTAGCAATTGACAGCGCAGAGACTTGATATGTCTTATTGCACCCAACATTTGGAAGGAACAATGTCATAAATTTGCGGAAAAATTCCAATGTTCCTACCAGCCCACCCTGCGGGGACCTGTTTTATTTAGGTATAGCCCCGTGAGCCATTCGGCTCTTGAATCGGGTGCGACCGCAACACACACACAACAAAAACACGAACAAATAAAACAGCTTTAAGTGCTTCTAGATTTGAAGCTTTCGTGACTGCAAGTATTCATACTCTTTGTTGTTTTTTTTTTGGGTAAAGTCACGTAGGTAAAATAAAATAAAAAAATAAAACAGCTACATAACAAAAAGGCGGCTTAGCTCAGCCCTCCCCTAACCTTAACCTGTATATAAGCTCGTGTGTCCCAGCGCTGTTCACTTGATACGGCGAACTTTTGCTGTGTCTGTTCCACCTGAAGACGGAAGCTTGTGTTGCCTCCGAAACGTCGTGATTTGATTTAATTTAGTTTTCTTTTATTTTAATTTTATTTTTCCTACGTGACTTTACCGAAAACAAAAAAAACCAAAGAGCACGAGTATCTTAAAGTGACTTCCGCACAACAGAAAAATCCAGGAAAAAAAAGTATTCCAAACCTTCTTCAACGTAGGCTTGCGAAACGTGGACCCCCTCCCCCCCCCCCACGTCCCCACCCCCCCCACTCCCCCACCCCCCCCACTCCCCACCCCCCCCACTCCCCACCCCCCCCACTCCCCAACCCCCCCCCACTGCCCCACCCCCCCCCACTCCCCACCCCCCCCACTCCCCACCCCCCCCCACTCCCCACCCCCCCCCACTCCCCACCCCCCCCACTCCCCCACCCCCCCCCACTCCCCACCCCCCCCACTCCCCACCCCCCCCCACTCCCCACCCCTCTAATGGAGCATCTTCACCGGTTAGAGATACTCGAACAGGCGTACACACCACCCCCCCCCCCCACCGCCGCCTCCTCTTCCTCCTCCTACGCTTCCATCCTGAATTTAACCGGGATGGATTGTGCGAGTAGATCACGGGTCCTTGAGGTTTCTGGACGCAGTCCCATTGAAGGGGGCTAAGCGGGCGCGGCACGGGCTCGATGAGAGATGGAGTGACGTGGTTACAGAAGGACGTGGAGCTGAGTGGACTTGCCGATGAGCGGTACCAGCGGTGTCAAGATCGGCCTCTGTGGAGGATGAGGATGAGGAGGAGGAGGCTCGTGAAGGACGCTGCTGCTGCTGCTGCTACTGGGCAGTTTGTAGGCATACTCATTGGTTCTTTCGGTAAAGTCACGTAGGTATAAACGACGTTTCGGGGGGCAAACACCTAACGTGACTTTACCGAAAGAACCAAAGTGTATGGATTCCTGCAGTCCACACGAAAGCTTCAAATTTAGTTTGGAGGCAGTCGCCCTCCGGCAACGGCGGAGGAGGAGCTACGCTCACAACAACGAGCGGAGCGCCAGGCGGATAAAACGCAGAAAGTTGTGACAGTAGGGAGCGCATGTGGCGCATCTGCCGATCATCTCAGTCAGTCGACCTGGGTCTGTCCCGTGACCTCATGTCAGCGGCGAGCCTTCATCACTCAATCGTGATAGCCTCAAGGTGCACCTAGCCTGGCACAAGTGCTGTGGTGGTGTCATCGTCTCTTCTTGGCAAATGGCGGCTGTTGCGTGCTGTGGTAGGTGAGGTGCGTGTGTGTACATGTGATGTGTAAGATCGACACTGGGGAGACAAAGGCGGCCGGGCGTGGGTGCTGGCCACCCACCCCCTCGTGTGCCGTTCCGGCCTTCATAGGAGCTCGCAAACGGCACTTGCCCCAACAGTCTGTGCAAGGTTATACGGGGGATCTTTGTCTTTGTGTACGGATGACTTAATCTGTGAATCTAGAGAGCTTCCAGTGAGATGTGTGTGTGTGTAAAGATGATAGGTGAATGTGTGTACAGGTGTGTACATGCGAGTGTATGTGTACAGGTGATTGTGAGCACGTACAGGTGAGTGTGTGTACAGGCCTGGCACAATCGTCGTGGTGACGTCACCGCCACGTAGT